CCAGTTCGAGACTGTTATTGATTCCATTCAGTCAGCAACCGCTTTGTAAGCGACGTTTCCCCATTCTCTTAGGGTGATTTTAAAAATCACCATGAATTGATCATAACGAAAACGAGAAAATTACTCTTCAGTGTTTTATTCCCACGTATTTCTGAAGTAAAGTGAATTTTGTCAAATGTGCATCTAGTTTTATCTTGTCAAAATAATCAAGTATGAGTCACGGGGGGTTGTATTTGTTTAAACCAAAATAGCTAGGGTAAAGGTTGAAGCACAAAATTAATAAACCGGGATGATTTTCAGTACTGTGTGGATGTGTCAAGAATTGGTGTATATCTTGTGCATAACCTTAGCCTAACTAAGAACGTTTTATCGTTTGTAGGTGGTTGTGGAGGTTTATTTGAAAATATTTTCAATGAAAATTCGGATTGCTCATTTAATCATAATGACGATCTTAAATTGAATGCGTTTTAATTATTGATGTAAGGCATGGGAATCGCTCAAGCATTGGTGCCAATTCGTACTAGTCCATCGGCCGAAAACGCACGGAACACGTACAGATCGGCATATTAAATAGTGTGTTAATACTATAGAAAGTGATCAAAAACAACTTTATCAAACGCCTCATAATGTTAAATTCATGTATAGCAAAAACGTGTTGCGAAGCCGATATACTGGTATTAAGTAGTTGTTGCACTGGATTAAGAACTGCAACGTTGTATGTTGAAAAATGTCTACTTTCAGAATAGACAAACCACAAATAAAAAATGCTTTGTCCGATTTTCAATCTGAAGTCCTTTCTATTACAGTGCAGAAAATACAGCTCAGTAATAAGGTTTTAAAGCTGAATTCTGTAAACTTAATGCAAGATATACAATTTTACATTCATAGTTACTTTTAACTAACCCAATCACTTGGAAAGGTAGTTTCCAACCTATAAACCTTTGACTTTCTTTCCGGTGGTACATCATAAACTCCCTTTCCCCTTCTTTACCCCAATTGTTACAAGCTGTTTAAGCCCCTCACTCTGGAAGTGCATTTCTCAACCTTTCCATCTTTATTTAAAAACCCTTCTTAAATGTTGCCAATAATCAAGTTTGTGTAAACCTTTCCACTATTTTAGAATTTGACTTGCTAGTTATTTTATTTATAGAACTCCAAGCTTAAAGAACCCTTTTTTTCCTCTGTTAAAGACACAAATTATATATTGGTGATTGCTGCTTGCTGCTTTTATTTTTCTGTTGCTCATTCCTTGCACCTCCCCAGCAAAGATTGTAATGTCCCAACTCGGTTACTACCCAGGCTGGGTTCAATTTAATGTGACAAAGTCGGGCTCACCTGAGACTTTCTGGTGACACATCTTTCACTTAAACACCACCTCGTTCGTGCTTTGTACCTTGGTGTATATTACACATGGATAATAAGTTGCTTATTAGTAAGTTACATTTTCACCCAGTGAATGGGAACTAAGTTATTGTTTAGGTTGGGCTCAGATGTCCCAAGACACCGCTGTATGTCTGTTCCATCACTGGTGCAACTCACTAACTGCTATTTGTAAGTGACTGTCAAAAACAGTAGTAGGGAAGTGCTCTTGGTTATGTACACCAGGGATTGAAATAATTCCCAAGGCCTTCTACAAACTGTTTTTGTTTACTGTATCCTGCCGTGTAGTACTGTATTGGGATACGCACTGCAGTCACCACCTGGTAACTTGAGCACAATTGCCAGATAATAAACAAACTTACCTTGGGGAGTCTTATCCTGGTATGTAGTGAAGTGGGTGCTTTTGTCATTACTGAAGTTTTAAAGGGTAAAATAGCAGAAGTGTATATTTCGGCAATCTTAAAGAATACAACACTTTAGACATCCGTTTCCATAAAGCAGAACTGTTGTATTGCACACAAATGTACAATATTGTAGGGGCTGGAAACCTTGAAATAAAAACAAGAAAATACTGGAAATAATCAGTGATTTAGTAGTGTTTATAGGGAAAGAAACTCGTTCTGATGAAAGGTAAAAGCAAAGTACTGCAATTGCTCAAGATCTGAAATAAAAACAGAAAATACTGGAGGAACCATCTGTGGAGAGAGAAACAGTGTGTGGACAGAAACACTAGCTCTGTTTTTTCCATCACCACAGATGCTGCCAGACCTGTTGAGTTGCTCCAGCGCTTTGTGTTTTCTTTTACTTCTGGTGAAAAGCTATCAAACTAAAACACCAAGCTTTGATTGGACTCCCATTGCCAATTCTGACATGACCACCTTGAGCTGTAATGTTTCTTCCTATCTTCAGGGACACTCTACTATTCCAGGATAATCCTGTGAAGTGTGAATGCTATTGCCATCATTCTCTAAATATGGACAGTTGTATCAGCTTTTGTGTCAAGCATTAAAACTGTCCAATAGCTGTCCCTTCAGATGTTGGGTACCTGTTGCACTCATCTCTCCCACTCTTGCCATCCTCCTTTCTACTCTAAGACGCAAATATGATTCTCTCATGTGCAAGTGGTAGTTCACATGTTTGTTTTCCATATGGTAAACTTTAAATACTTGCTCTAATTCTGGTTATAATGCATAACAAATTAAGATCTAGCAAGTTTGAAAGAGAGCATTTCTTCACTTGTTGCTTGAGCATTCACCTTTCTAGCTTAAACAAAATTTTGTTTTCCACGTTGAAACCTTTCTCCAGCAAAACACCTAATTTCCTGATTTGGATCATGTAACATCAGCTTTAATCCACTTAAAATACGTGGATAGTAATCATTATATTTTATCATTGTTTTACAAACTTGTCTTAAAATTGTGTTAAACAATAAAAGGTAATTATTCTGCATGATAAATTCCTTCAGAATATTCTTTTAAAATTTCATGTATTGTGCAGTTTCAGATATATGCACAGAAGCTGAGTAATTGTAAAATGTTCTTGGGCACTTGTTCTTTTTTAAGTATTTTTATAACATGTCTACTTTAAAATTACTTTACTTTTTTTTTATTCAATCTTTTAAAAAAGTGACCAAAAGTTATGAGAACTTTATATATGATTGCTTTTAAATATTAAATTTATAGTATATGTCAATCCATAGCCTTTTGACAAATGGCCCTATTAGAATATCTTCAAATGACTGAGTAAAAGCAAAACTGTTACTGAGACTTTCCAGTTTAAACTGCTGCACATGTATTATAATACTGACTAATTGGAACATGCATTCAATCTTGTGGTCACATCCACAAAGCTCAGCTGATGACTGGCTTACTGTATCACCTCTTTTTTTTTAAAGAAAAGCAGTCACTATCAAATTATTAAATGCTAGGTTATTGTTTCTCCCTGTTTCTCCCTCTACACAATGCATGATCTGCAGAGTATTTGCAGTATTTTTGTTAATGCTTGTAACAAATCACCAGGTTGTTTTAAATTTTTCAATTTAGTCTCCCTCAACCATCTAAATGTGAAGGGTATAGCGAGTTTTCAGAATGTGTTATCAATTTAATTCTTTAGCTCTGGTGAGTGGTGACTGCACCTGTTGTCTTTGGTGAGGCAAAATACACCCTGCAGGTTGGCACCCAAAATTGGGTGTAATGTTCCAGATGAAATCTGACCAAGAATCTATGACTAAAGCATCACTTCCAGACTTTTGAATGCCAACCTCTTCGAGATAAGCACCATTCCATTTGTCCTTTTAATTTCTTTTCATATTTTTACCTCTGGATCATCAAGGGTTCTGAGGGATAAAGATTGTGCACTGAATATGTGCAGCAATTAACAGCAAAATGTAGGATAGAGTTGGTTGATTTAAGGATCTTACTGATAGTGACTAATGGTGGGAGAGAGAAGAGGGTTCTTTTCTATGGTTTGTTCTTGAAGAAGAATTTGTTACCCATCTCTATTTGGCCTGAGGGATAGATGGTAGGTCCTGGGTCTATCCTTATGATCCTTGGGAAGGGGTCAAAGAAGAGGAGCTCATCTAAGCATATGTCAACTTTAGCACAGAACGAGCAGTTTGAGTGCCTGAACAAAGTATTCTATTAAGACACATTTTGAAATGCTCAATATCACTCCCCAAGTGACGAGTTGTTCTAAGTTGCTTAGCACTGTAAGAGATTACCAGTAAACTTGCCATGTTGAATGAAGTAGTGGTGATTTGGTCATAACTTTCTAGACAAATATTTGGTATATAACAACAAATTCTGTTACTTTACCACCCTTGCAGCTATACGTTTCTAATGTGGTAGTGGTAGAAAGGAACAGTTTTCTTGGGGATAGGATGACCAAGAAAATTCAAGGGTTTGGAAGCTTAATACACTCAACCCAGTTGTCCTCATATTTCTGTACTTTTAGAATGGGATTGTGTGCATTTTATTCCTTTCTTGTTTGTGTGGAAACTCTAACTTAAATTTGCAATTTTGACAAAGGTGAAAAATAGACCTCTTTGTTTGACTAGCAAGAGATTTTCATTTGCCTTGTCAAAAATTAGTTTTGCAATCTTCAACTGTTTCATTTACCTGAAATATTTCAAAATTCAGGATCTGTCTTGATTAAAAGGTTTGATTTTTGAGAGCAGGCGAAGCTGCCGTTTAGTGTTTTGTAGCTATTAGGTTGTTGCTTTGTAAGTGACAAAAATTTTCCAGTTTAGTTCATAATATGGGACAAATCGAGTGGCACATCGTCTAAATTTCTTTTGTATTTTTGTTACTTTACCACCCTTATGCACAATCAAGATTTTCTGCTTTGATACATCTTTAAAATTATTTTTGTAATTTATCTAATTTCAGAATCAGATGAACCATTGCTGAAAAGTAGTTTTGGAATTTCCCGTAAGGACTATACATATTTAGTATTTAATATAGGTATGTGATAAGATCTGTTTTGAGATACTGGCCAACCTGTCATGTCTCCAACATTTTTCATTGTTAGCAATAAACCAAGCAGGCAATTATCTGCAAATCTTTAATAAATTTATATCTTTAATTTTATATGTTTTTGAAATGAAATCTAATGTTTTGCAGCTGACAGGTGTCTTGGATGACTGCTTCTGTGACATAGAAAGCATTGATGATTTCAACAGCTACAAGATCTTCCCTAAACTACAGCAATTGCTAGAAAGGGATTACTTCAGATATTATAAAGTAAGATCTCTAACTTGCTAAAAACTAAGTCGATCCAGTTGTGTTTTTTTTTATATAGAGGTTCATTAAATTTTTTTTAATAATAAATGATTAATGGTAGCTGAGCTCTTGTTTAGTTCTGATCCAAGGCAAATATATTTTTCTTTGAGCTGGGGAGAAACAGCTTTAGTAGGGCTCAAAGTAAGGTCTAGTCCAAGGGTGGGATTGTGTGGTCAGGTTGCGCCCAGCGTAAAGGGGACAATCTGGCTTGGATGTTGCAGGCTGGTGTTCTGGAACGGGTGCTGATTGGGAAAGGAGAGGAATCAGTTTTAGTTACCCAGAATTTTAAACTTCACAAGCATTTCTCACGAAGTTGACTGCAGCAGGTCTTTCTCATGGTGCTGATATATAACCCGTCTATGCTATTACAATGAATGACCTGAGTTACGCTATATGGGTGGAAATGTGAAATAAGAAGGGGATGATCACCTTGTTGGGATTCTATTATATCCCCTGTTTCCAACCCCCTCCCAAAAAAAGAGGTATGCAGGAAATGGAGAAGCAAATATGTAAGGAGATCTCCAATACCTGCAAGAATAACAGGGTTGTAATGGTAGGGGATTTTAACTTTCCAATGACTAGGACAGTCATTGTGTTAAGGGCTTAGATGAGGAGGAATTTAAGTGTGTATATGAAAACTTCCTCGTAAATATTGGGAAATAAGGCAGGGCAAATGACTGAGGTGTCAGTTGGGGAGCACTTTGGGGCAAGTGATCGTAACCCTATCGGTTTTAAAATGGAAAAGGATAGACCTGATGGAAAACTTAAAAATCTAAATTGAAGTAAGGCCAATTTTTGATGGTATTAGACAGGAACTTTCAAAAGTTGTTTAGGGGGAGCTATTTGCAGGTAGAAGATGGTTGGGAAATTGGACATGTTTTAAAAATGAGATAACGCGAGTCTAGAGATGGTATGTTCCTCCTAGTGTGAAGGGCAAGGCTGGTAGGTGTAGGGAATGCTGGATAACTGGAGAAAGAGTCTCTGGTCAAGAAAAAGGAGGCATAATTCCAGGTATCGACAGCCAAGATTGAGTGAATCCCTAGAAGAGTATAAGGGCAGTAGCAGTAGACAAGAGGGAAATCAGGAGGGCAAAAAAGGGACTTGAGAACTTCAGCAGAAAAGGTTGAGGAGAATCCAAAGAGATTCTACAAGTATATTAAGGGAAAAAAAGCATCTAGGGAGAGAATAGGGCCCCTTTAAAGATCAACATGGGACCACAGGAAATGCGTGAGATACTAAATGAATATGTCATGACCTTTTTCATTGTAAATATGGATATGGAAGTTACGGAATTTAGGGAAATAAATTGTCTTGAAAGAAGTTCATATTACAGAAGATGAGGTGCTGGAAGTCCTAAAATACGTAAAGATAGATAAATGCCCGGGACCTGATCGGGTGTTTTGCCAGAACTTTGTGGGATGCTAAGGAAGAGATTGCTTGGCCCCTTGCTGAAATAGTTGTATCATCCACAGCCACGGGTGAGGTGTCGGAAGACTGGAGGTTAGCTAATGTGATGCCATTATTTGCAAAAGGCTATAAGGAGAAACCAGGGAATTATAGACCAGTGAGTTTTATGTCAGTGGTGGGCCGGTGGTTGGAGGGGATTCTGAGGGACAGGATTTACATGCATTTGGAAAGTAAAGGACTGATTAAGAATCGTAAATACGGCTTTGTGTGTGGCAAGTTATGTCTTACTAACTTGATTGAGTTTTTTGAAAAGGTGACAAATTATATAATAATTTGGATGTGAATAAAAGTTGGTAAGTTTGCAGATGGCGCCAAAATAAATGGTGTAGTGGACAGTGAAGAAGGTTATCTCAGGGTACAACAGGATCCTGATCAGATGTGCCAACGGGCCGAAGAATGGCAGATGGAATTTAATTTTAGATAAATGTAAGGGGTTGTGTTTTGGTAAGACAAACCAGGGCAGGACTTATGTAGTTAATGGTAGGGCCCTGGGGAGTGATGCCAAACAAAGACCTTGGGGTGCGGGGTGCAGGGTGCATAGTTCCTCAAAGGGTGATGAAAAGGCATTTGGCACGCTTGCCTTCTGTGGTCAGTGTTGTGTATAGGAGTTTGGATGTCATATTCCAGCTATATAGGACATTGGTGAGGCCACTTTTGTAATACTGGGCACAATTCTGGTCTGTCGTCTTTAGGAACAATGTTGTTAAACTTCAGAGGGTGCAGAAAGGATTTTCAATGATGTTGCCAGGACTGAGGATTTGAGTTATGGAGACAGGCTGAATAGGCTGGGGCTCTTTTCTGTGGAGCGCTGAAGGGTGACCTTATGGAGGTTTATAAAATCATGACTGGCATGGATAGGTTGAAAAGCCAAGGTCTTTTTCCTAGACTGGGGGAGTCTAAAACTAGAGGACATAGGATGAAGGTGAGAGGGGAAAGATATTAAAACCACTTTTTCATGCCGAGGGTGGTGTGTGTATGGATTGGGTTGCCAGAGGAAGTGGTGGAGGTGGGTACGATGACAAAATGTAAAAGGCATCTGGATGGGTATATGAATAGGAAGGGTTTTGAGGGATATAGGTCAAATGCTGGCAAACGGGACTAGGTCAGATTGGGATGTCTGGTCAGTGTGGATGAGTTGGACCGAAGGGTCTAGTTCCATGTTGTATGAATCTATGACTGTCTTCCCATTGGAGCTTCTGGACCAGTGAGGGTTTTGTTTTTGTGTTGAGACTTTGGTAATCTTTGTAAGATTTGAAGCAGTATTACATTGATTCTGCTGCAAGATATCATGTTGTGGTATCAGGTATCATAGTATATAGATATGAAAATATGACCTTTATTCTGTAAATAACATTTTATTCTAAAATTTGAATTTTGAACTAGTGGGTTTTGGTCTGTGTATAAGGGAGTTTAATGATTACCTTGTCAATATGTCTCGCTGTTTTTCTTAAAACAACCGTTAGAGAGGGACTTTCTAGAATGCTAATGGGAATTTGTTTGATTTGGTGAGCATTTTACAAGCAGAGTGAACATTGGACAGTATTAGGCTGCTTTCTGTTAGAAAGATCAGGATTTTTTTTTGGAGGAAATCTTTTTAGTTGTAGTTGGTAGAAGTCATGGTTGAAGTTAATGTAACACCACTGTGCTAGAGAAAGTTCATTCAGGAAAATTTTTAAAATAGTTGACTTCAGTGTAAAGGTTTTGTTTAAAGGTCCAGATCAGAAGTGTTTGGTTGGAACCCTGGGATGGTTATTGAGGCTGAGAAAGTCTGAGCTCAGTTGTGTGAATACCCCAGAAAGAGGCTGTCAAACATTCCAAGACTGGGAATTGAAAAACAATTAAGGTGAACCTATAGAGGTGATGAAGAGAGTTCTCCCATTTTTGAGTAGTGTGAAAGTCTATGATGGGATAGATGAAATAATGCATTTTTATGATATATTTATAATTGTTTCAAATTGTGTAATATGTAAATAGCCTCTGTTATCAACAACTGCTTCAGGTGGAGAGTTCTATATGCACACCATGCTCAACCCTCCCCAATCCTTCGACCTGTTACATTAAACCTCTGTTCTGGAGGAAGTTGTAGCATGGTTGAATTTCCACTAGACTAGTAACCTAGAGAGCTAGGCAAATGGGTTCAATTACCACCATGAGGGTGGTGAAATTTAGTTTTAGTTCTTAAATTTGGAATTAAGAAAACTTGATTAATTGTGACCATCAAACCATTGGCTTTTACAATAATCAACAGTCTGGTGCACACATGCCCTTTTAGGGAAGGAAAGTCTGCCATCATCACTCGGTGTGGTCTGCATGAGGCTTCAGATGCACATCAATGTTCTTGATCCTGAAATGAAAAGCCACAGGGTTGTATCTCACTGCCACGTAAACTGTCAAAAGGAATGCAACCAGACAGATCATTTTAAATTAACTAAGGCATCAGAAATGATTGTGTTCCACATAGCCGTGTCTTGTGCCAAAAATTGGAAGACCTCTGCACAAACTAGTCAAGCAATAGCCATTGTCATTCTCCCAGAATCATAGCTGACAGATATGTCTCAGACAAGGCACACCCGAGCCTGGGGATGGTCCTGTTCCACAGACAGATCAGATCTACCAGAGGTTGTGACACTCTGCTAAACAGTTGGGGCGGCAGGTGTGTAGGGGGTTGCTCTGGGACTGCTCAACATTGATTCTGGACAGCATGAAGTCTCATGGCATCAGGTCAAACGTGGACAAGGAAAGCTCCTGCTGATTACCACCTGCCGTCTCCCCTTAAGAATCAGTCTTTGTCCACATTTAATACTTGGAACTCTGTTGATGGTGGCAGCGGTGTAGAATGTACTCTGGATGGGGGACTTTATTGGCAGTCATCAAGAGTGCCTTGGTGGTGCACTGCTGACTGAGTCCTAAGAACATAGCTGCAACACTGGCTCAGCAGCAGGTGTTGAGGGGATGAACAATATGGAAAAATGTATATGACCTCGTTCTTAACAATCTTTGTTACAGCTTGATTGTCACTACATCTAACGCCTTCAGCATTTACTGTCTCCACATCTTAATGATTTTTATCGTCACATAGATCTAGGAAGATATAGTGAGGGATGCACAGTGGCAACAGTGTGTTCCATTTACAAGTTGCAGTTCAAGAACTTAACTGGGTTCCTTCAACAGCAAAACTTCCAAAACCAAACCTCCTCCACCTAGAAGGGCAAAAGCAGCAAATGGGGCACCACGACCTGCAAGTTCCCCTCCAAGCTGCACATTGCCCTGGCTGTGAACAATGCTGCTGTTCCTTTACTATCACTGGGTCAAAACCCTGGAGCTGAGGGGGTGTTGGCCTAGATTTCCTTATGCTTATATCCGTGGAGTGGAATTTGAGCCCACAATCCTTTAACTTGGAGGTGCAAGCATTAGTCACTGAGTTAAGCTGATCAATCGGGCTAAATCAGTACTTTGGAATGGTCTTTATATCTATGGTGGTCTTTGAAAGATCTATCTAATTAAACTCATACCTCTGTTTCCCTGTGGTCTTGTAAATTTTCTAATGTGCAGTATATTTAAGTATAATGTGCTCATCTTAAATTACAATGTACATTTCATTTCAATAGGTTAATTTGAAGAGACCTTGTCCCTTCTGGTTAGATGATGGGCATTGCTCGATTAAGGACTGCCATGTCAAGCCTTGTTCTGAGGTAAAGTGTCTGGAGTTGTTTTACAGAAGTTGATTTGAGGAGATATTAATATTTTGTATTAAATAGAAATTGCTGATTCAGTCAATGGAATACTTGAGTTGCAAATCTTGTAATATTTGTGTTGTATCAGCTTTCAAAGTCTAGCAGTAGGAGTAGGCACTTAAGGCCTTCAAGCCAATTCTGCCAATCAATGAAATTTGCCTTTACACATGAATATCGAAACACTTAACAAATGTTACATGACAGATCCTTCCTTAGAGATTCTTAATCTGATTATCATTTGTTACCTGCAGTCTGGATGCCCAGGAAACATGGGAGCAAGAAGATTTGAAATAGCAATGTAGTCAGATAGCATATTAATGAAACCGAGCTTCCAAATTGAGCAGGGGTCGGGGGAACAAAAGTGAAGGGACCTGAAGGGGCTGACTGGCAGACCATGGTGAACATGTAAGCTGAAGAGGTAGTTGTAGCAGGACAGGTGGCAGACATCCCTGGAATAAATCTTCAAGTAAATTGAAATGAACAATGTATTTAAATATTATCATCCCAATCTTTACAGGCTAACTTTAAAACTTTTTTTTACTAATGTCCCGTTCTTTAATTCCTTCTATTAGAACAAGCATTTTTCACGTTTGTTATTGCCAAATATTCCGTTTTGTGGTGTGGTTACTCTATTTGTTAATGTGTTAATACTACAGCTACTAATGTTTTAATCAATTTTTTGCAAAGATGAAAATTCTAATTCAGTTATTTATAGGGCATTTCTGAGAGAATGTCTTGTATTGCTGATTTCAGTTTGAGCAGTTATCTATTGTATCTCATTGTTTTCATTTTTAGAGTGAGATTCCAATTGGGATTAAAGCAGCTAATTTCAACAAAGTAAGTCAATAACTGAAAATATTTTCTGTAAATACATTTGAATTATCTTGTTGCTCAACCAAGTGTTTGGAGAACTGGTTAGCATGTCTGTACTTTTCCTGATGTAAAATGAAAATATGCACATAATAAACTGATTCCACTATTATGTTTGCCATTTTTGCTGTTAATATGGTCAATTTAGGTTTACCTTCAGGTGCGTGGTTTAACTTTACTGATTTTTTTTGATTTTGTATTAGTTTTCTGTGGAAACAAATACAGATGAAGATTTGCAAGACTGTGAGGAAGCAAATAAGCTTGGAGCTGTGAACAGCACGTTGAGGTGACACGCATTAAGTGATTTCAGTCTTTTGCATTTTGTTTTTAAATGTTTTTTACAACATTAACTCTGGTTATGGTTCTTGTAGATTTCAGTTATTTCCATCTTTGTATTCCTATTGCTTACATTTTAGGAATTCTCTGTGTGGTAAACATTAGGAAAATTTGGTTATGGTTTAGGAATATATGTAGCCCACCATTTCTGACAAACGTGCACTATGATTCTGCATGTTAGGATGTTAATAGTTTGTGCTGTTTGATTTTTTTTCATTGTGGAATTCCTCATTTTTAGTCCCTCGTTTATTTACCTCTTTTAAAAAAAAAAAATAAGTAATGCATTTTCTATGCACTTGGAGAGGCAAGGAATAATTAGGGATAGTCAGCTTAGTTTTGTGCGAGGGAAATCTCATAAACTTGATTGAGTTTTTTTTTTGAAGAAGTAGCCGAGAAGATTGAGGTAGACTTTAATCAAGCCTTTTGATAAGGTTCCGCATGGTAGACTAATTAAAGTTTGATCACATAGAATTCAGGTTGATCTTGTCAGTTGAATACAAAATACTGCTTAACGACTGGAGACAGTAGTGGTGGAAAGTTGTTTTTAGAACTGGAAACTTGTGACTGGTGGTGATCCACAGGGATCGGTGCTTCGTTTGTCACTTATATAATTGATTTAAATGAGAAAGCATGGTTAGTAGGTTTGTGGATGACACTAAGATTGGTGGTTTAGTGGATAATGAAGAAGGTTATCTAGGATTACAAAGAGATCTTAATCAATTGAGTCAATGGGCTGAAGAGTGGCAGATGGAGCTTACTTTGGATAAATGCGAGGTATTGCATTGTGGTAAAACAAACAAAGGCAAGAATTATACAATTAAAAGTAGGGCCTTGGGTGGTGGTATAGGACAGAGAGACGTAGGGTTCTTTTGAGGTTTGCATCACACATAGGGTGGTTGAGAAGGTGTTTAGCATGCTTGCCTTCATTGCTCAGACCTTTGAGTAAAGAAGTTGGGATGTCATGTTTAGGATGTACAAGATGTTGGTGAGGCCAATTCTGGACTACCTTGTATAGTTCCAGTCTCCCTGTTATAGGAGCTGTTATGTTGCTGGAAATGGACGGTTTGAATTTTAAAGAGGCTGAACAGGCTAGGAGGCATAGGAGAGGCGACCTTCTAGAGAAGTTTATAAAATCATGAAGGGTATAAATAAGGTGAATGGTAGGTGCCTTTTCCATGGGGTGGGGGATTCAAGACAAGGGGGCATATTTTTAAGGTGAGAGGAGGAAGATTTAAAAATGACATGGGAGCAATTTTTTTAGTGGTTCTTGTGTGCAATGGACTTCCAGAAAAAGTGGTGGATGTGAGTACAGTTGCAATGTTCAAAAGGCATTTAGATAAGTACAAGACAAAATGTTTGAAGGGATATGGGCCAAGCACAGGCAGGTGGGACGGGACTAGTTTCGTTTGGGATCTTGGTTGGACCGTAGGGTCTGTTTCTGTGCTGTATGATGATTTTTTTTCCAGTAAATGGAAGGCAAAATGCTACCAAAGAAACAAATCACACTGAACTCAAAACTAGCTTCTGGTTCTGAACTAGTTGTACTGTTACTATATTTTACTGCTGAGTAATCCAAAAGGAGTTGTCCTGCAACTTTTACTTGCAGTTCCACATTGGAATGTCAGAAATCTGAATCTCACTTCAGCACAAATGAGGCGGCAGAAATCAAGATGGTATTGTGGCTATTTAATACTGCAAAAAAATCACTGATCTTCAAGATTTCAAATCTTGAATATATTTTCGGTTCAAAGAAAAGTTTTTCTTGAAACAGCACTTCTTGCATATCATTGGAGAAGGAGAGCCTGGGGGAAAACGTGCAGTTTTTACTGTTGGTCCCCACTTTTAGTATTGGTAAACAACGTTAGATGATTTTGAATTCCTGCAATGCAGATTGATGCATTCGGGAAAGTGTTTCTGCAGAATGTATTTGCGCTTAAAAGCGTCATTGGGTTTTGGTCTCCCTTTTTTGCCCTTGCATTCTCTGCATGCTCGCCTCCTGCCCATTTCGTGTGATTTTTTTTTTTTACCGTCGCCACTTTTTAATCTTCTCCTATCTCATTCCCACTTTCCCTTCTGCTCCCTCTGTATCCGCTTCTCCCAGTCCTATATTTATGCAAACAAAAGGAAGTGCAGTTGCCATTGACCTACTGGGCCATAGGGCTGCTTTTTCATTAGAGAAATGATTGCTGATTTAACCGAAGGGTCACTATACTGAGGGGAGAATTTGAGAATTGTTGGTGTTACTCTGCATTATAAACCATCTGTGCTAACTGGCCTCCATTTAAAGGGACTATGTGTACTGATGTTTAATAATTTTCCTGTTCATTTATATTTATTTAACTTTACCTTCAGAATTTTTGTTCAGCCTCTGCTGAATCTACAGTCCTGTGTTACTGTCTCTGATATGCTATCTTTTTTATCAATGTTATTAAAATGTTTCCCGTAAGATGCACACTTCCTGTCTACAAATATACTTCAAGTTTTTTATTTGTTTACTTCTTCAACAATATTCTTTCAATTTTTGTAATGGCTGTCATAAAATAGCTGCATGTTTGGCCATTTTTAGATAGTCCTGTGAAGTGAGCTTCTAAAGATTGTAAGGGAGCAACACTTGGAAGAAGTACTTTCTAAACAAACAAAGCTTGCATTCATCAAATTATGCAACATCAGAAACAATCTGTAGGTACTGTGTAAATAAATCATAGAATTATAATGTATTACTTGGTTGGTAATGCCTGTATTCCTGTATCCAATCACTTTTCTTTCATCCTTTAGTAACCAAACAAAAGAAGCTTTCATTGATTGGGCAAGATATGATGATGCACAAGACCACTTTTGTGAACTTGATGGTAAGGACCTTATGAAAGTCTGATACAACATTTATGTCTAAGGGTTCTAGGATATTTTGACATAAGTCATTTAATGACTACATTAAATTTAAACAAAGCACTATATGGGCTCAATAATAATCAGTGGTTTTAAAAAAAAACTTCCCTTATTGGTTCTTATAATTTGTTAGATTCCAGACAATAGCAGTCACCAGCGGCATTAGAAGCATGGTATGGTTCCAGTGCAGATACTTGCATTTGTAATTTCTATTCTAAATATGCATACATCTATGTGAAAAAGCATTATATAAAAGTAAAGACATGAAGTATGGCTCTAAATTGGAATCTGAATTTCCTTAATGTAGTTTCGTTGTTATTCCTTACCTTTTCAGTTCACTTTGTCTAAAGATTACACAAACACCCTTTAATCTTTCAGCTGAGCTTTTTGAGAATCAAACAGTTATTTTTGTGTGCATGCATTGAGTGTTTTTCCCTTTTAGACAGATCCCATGTTAGCTCCCGCAGGGTTGTACATGTGGGAGGGAGATGCCTTGGGAGTCCACCACATTTTGACTCCGGACTTAGGAAATCTCATGCCATTAGGTTAATGGGCAAGGGAGTCTCATGCTAATTACTACCCATTATCAGCTGATGAATCATAACTCCTCAATGTTCAGCATCACTTGGATGAAGCATTCAAGATAACTAGAGGGCAGAATGTATCCTGCTTCGTTGTTTTATCAGCCAGAGTGCTTTGTTGCACCAGTGCTGAATGCACTGTCTGGTCCTTAAGGATTTAGTTGCCAAACGGGGTCTGCGACAGAAGGTGAAGGGTATAAACCTACTAGACCTTGCCCTCCACAATGTGCCTGACAGTTACGTCCGTTTATGATGATATTAGTCAGCCTGACCACCATTGTCCCGGCTTCACACTGAGAATATCTCCATTTAGTGGAGTGACACTACCATGCTAGGTTGATTTAGATATAAAGTAGATCTGGTAGCTCAAAACCAGATGCACATGAGTCACTGTGGACCATCAGATTTAATATTCCTCACTCTGCTATTTTCATCCCAACAAAAAGATCAACCTGATTAAGTGAGGAATGCAAGAGAATATGCCAGAAGCATAAGTAGGCTGTAGTCATTCAAGAGAGCAGATTTCCTTCATCCTTTGACATGGCCAAAAAGTGCTAGCCCAGTGAGTAAAACCCATATCCTTCAGTAGCCATCTTCAACCAGAGGTACTCAGTGAATGATCCATCTCTTCCTGAGATCCCCATCATCACAGATGTCCATCTTCAGCCAATTTGATTCAGTCTACGGGATATCATGTAACATTTGAAGGCGCTGTATATATCAAAGCTATGATCCTTGACAATATCAGGGCAGTAGCACTGAAGATGTGCTGTAGCCATACTGTTAACCAATTGTTGCAATAACAACACTGGTATCTACCTGGTAATATGGAAAATTGTTGAAATATGTCCCTCCCAATAGAAAATAACAAATCCTATCTGACCAATTAACGCACAGACAATTCTTGAGTCAATAATTGATTATCGGCATAATGAAAGGTGTTATTGACAGTACTATTAACAATAGTAATTACCTGTTAATTGACATGCATTTGAGTGAATTGTGGAAAATCGATGCTGTAGTAAAACTGAACTTGGTGGGAATAGGATGGAAAATCTCTGGTTGCAGGTGGTTGTAGGTCAATCATCTCAGGACATCACTGCAAAAGTGTCTCAGGGTAGTCTCCTTAGCCAAACCATCTTCAGCTGCTTCATCAATGCTTTTCCTTCATAAGATCAGGAGTAATGTTTGCTGTTGGTTGGGCAATATTTAGTAGCATTTGCAATTCCTCAGATGCTGAAGCGGTCCAAATGCAGCAAGATCTAGACAACACTTGGAGGTGGGCTAATTAGTGACATTAGTTAATAGTTAATGGTAATGCTTCTCCAACAGGAGAAAATTTAATCGGTGCCACTTGATGTTCAGTGGTATTGCTATCACTGAATCCTCCATTCCCAACATTCTAAAGGGAGCAATTCTTCTCTCTTCTCCCCAGTGTCTGTCCACAATCTACAAGGTACAAGATCAGGAAGGTGTTGGAATGCTCCCCACTTGCCTGGATGGGTGCAATTCCAACGATACTGAAGAAACTCAACATCTTCAAGCCTTGTGCTTGATTGACACCCCATCCACCACCTTCAAACTTCATTCCCACCATCACTGATGGCAGCAGTGTGTACCATCTATAAGATGCACTGCAACAATTCATCAACGCTCTTGACAGCATCTTCTGAACTCTCAACCTTTACCACCTAGAAGGACAAGAGCAGCAGAATAATGGGAGCATCACAACCTGAAAATTCCTTTCAAGCTGCACATCATCCTGACTTGGAGCCTTTCCTTCATTGTTGCTGGATCAAACATTTGGCACTCCCTTTCTAACCACTGTGGGTGTCTTCCCCCAAGAACTACAGTTCGAGATTCTCCAAGACATGTAGGACATTGAATGCTGGCTGAGCCAGTGATGTTCATGTCCTGTGATGAAACCAGTGGCTTTGAGTTGTTGGGGGATGAGTTACTTGTTACAGTATGTGTTGTTTCTTGTCTGAACTGGCACCCAGTCAGTTGGTCCACTGAGTTTCTTGTCATTGGTAATGTCCCAAGATGATGGGAGACTTGGTTGTGTTAATGTCATTAAATGGCATAGGTAGCGGTCAGACTTTCTTGTTGTAAAGGGTCATTTGTCTGGCATTTATCTCTTTTATCTCTCATTGTGCAAGGTGTGCTGCATGCAGACATGAACTACCTCATTATTTGATTACTGAATCTCTGTGAACTGTGCAGTGAAGTCAAACAAAAAAAAGATTATCTTAGCAGGATCAATATCTGTAAAGAGAAAAGATGGATTTTGATGTTTGTTGTGTTCCTTTCACATGAATAGACCTCTTGAAGATGAAAAGGCAACTGTAGTACAGTTGGAAATGACCTAACATGTTTCTAAGCTGCCTTTTTAAATTCCACTTCTGCATTTGCAGCTTACTTTCCCCTTCTCCTTACTGCTCAACCTCCCCTCATTTTTAGTGCTTTTAAATATTCTTTTCTGTTTTCTACTTTTTCCCACTTGTGTTTGATAAGCAGTTTTCACATTGTTAAATATATTTAACCTCCTTGTCACCATTGACGTTTCTGTTTGATTTGCTTTCCATTTTCTCTTTTTTTTCAAATTTAGCAAGTTTACTTGAGAACTTAAAGGCAAACCTCCCCCATTCAGTACCAAAATTAAAATGCTGTCATTCATAGATGCTGATTCACCTGATGTTTTTGCTTGCAAATAAGCTAAAGGCTATTGCCTGAAAATGATGGATAATATCTCTCTCTGCAGATGAATTATCGCCTGATGCTGAATATGTGGATCTCCTCCTGAATCCGGAACGTTACACTGGATACAGGGGACCATCAGCTTGGAGGGTGTGGAACAGCATCTATGAAGAGAACTGCTTCAAGTACATATTTGAGATATGGCTTTCAACTGTATATGTTAATGTTGATAGCCACAATTTGGCTTCTTGTGTTGACTGAGTGTTCTTATTTCTTTCATTCTTCATATTGTGTGTGATAGGCATGTGATTTGTCCAATCCAAGTTTAATGAAGACTCTGCATCATCGTGTTTCTCAGTATGTCCATGACTTCGCACATATCACAAAATGTACATTCCATTTCTCCCTTCTGACCTGCCATCCTGTCGTGCTTAAAAACTATTCATTAAGAATAAGTATAAATTTACTATATTTATCAGTAAAAGAGAGAAATCAAGTTTAGAGACTTAAAACACAAACTAAGTACCGAACTTTCGCTTTAAAGATCAGAAATACAAGTTTTTAAAAAAAACCTACTTACCAGCTTTCTATGCACTGGTGATGTCTCAGTGCTGTCACCTTGGCGATGTTTGTTTATTATTTCTTGCCATAAACTTTAATTGAAGCACATCTTTCCTCCTCTGGGTCAAATATCCACTTTGACCCAAATTCCCAGTTACTCTGGCTCATTCCCATTCTGCCATTTACCCCCATTCTGAGTGTGTGGCTTATGCTGACCCAAAAAAAAGCCCCAGAGTGCTGCTCTCTCTTTCAACAGGTTTGATTGTTGGTGTTTTTAACCTGATGGTCATCATGCCTCCAGCAAAGACAAAGATTCAAACACTGTACCCTTTCTTATGGCCTCTGCCAGAAATGGAATTGAACTTGCTCTACCAATATCATTCTGTATTGCAAATCAGCCATCCAATCCAATTTGCTTTCAGAACATCAGCTGAACAGTTCCATTCTTGAAAAAAGTCCAGTAAAATTCTACCATTAACATTCCATTGTTGAATGTCTCCTGTCTGGCCTTGAATCTCACTTTCCATAAACTTTTATGATTTTTGTTCTTATCTGCCCAAACTGTTCAACCATCATGCTTTAGTTATTGGTGTATTTTATTGTAAAACTAATTCTGTAATCTAGACAGGATGATGCTGACTATCATGTTAATGACTGCAAAATAAATGTGCAGTAAGCACTCGTCTTCAGTTGCAATATCAGTCAATACAGCCTTTTTGTGCATTTTGAAGGAAGAATGTTGGTTAGGCCATTCATCTGTTTTATCTCTTGCTCCCAATATTATGTTCACATCCACCTCAATTGGTGAAAATGGAGTATAGTTTAGATTAAAGCAAAATGTAACCTGAGATGGTAGCTGTCGTTACTGAAGTTTGACTGCCACTCAACTTTTACCAAAACACTGCAGTATTGTTGAAACCTACTTTTATGAGCAATTAAGTTTGTGTATCATCTGCAGGCCTCGATCTGTATATCGTCCTCTGAATCCACTGGCACCTAGTAGAGGTGAGTTTATGTACAAAATCTGTTCTGACTTATTATAGCTTGCTCACCAGTGACTTTGTTTCAGGCAGATCAGAAGTTGTTTTAACCCATTTCTTAGCAAAGCTGTATTTCTTGCTTATCTCTCATTGCCCTGAGAAATTGATTGTGATACTTTTTTAGACAGACCAGGTGACTTATTAGAAAATCAGAGGGTGATACTCTCAATTTCTGGTCTGTTTGACCTTAGTAAATGAAACGTGTGGGCGGCACAGTGGCTCAGTGGTTAGCATTGCTACCTCGCAGCACCAGGGACCTGGGTTCAATTCCATACTTGGGTGACAGTCTGTGTGGAGTTTGCACATTCTCCCCATGCCTGCATGGGTTTCCTCTCACAGTCCAAAGATGTGCAAATTAGGTGGATTGGCTATGCTAAATTGCCCTATAAGGCCCAGGGATGTGTAGGTTAGGGGTGTTAGCCATGGGAAATTTAGAGTAGGAGGATGGGTCTGGGTGGGATGCTCCTTGGAGGGTCGGTGTGCACGTGTTGGGCCAAATGGCCAGTTTCCACACTAGGGATTCTGAGGTTTCCTAATCCCTAATCCTGAATGTTCTCAATACTAGGATGTCATTGTGGGTAAATTACTTCAGGCTATCTTTAATTTGGCTTCTTATTAAGAAATCTCTCAAACAATCAAATACTGAAACCATGATTTTAAACTTTATTGCAGTAGCAACCAAAGTAAGACCTCTCAAGTAAGCAAGTTAAGCCTCACAACCCAACTTGGCTATTACCTGATTTAATGGTGGAATTTAGCTATGATTCCAACCAACATGTTTCGATATTTGTGCACTGTTATTCTCTGGAGCTCTGCTGCTGAAGATTCTTGGAGTTAAATTCTTGTACTGTTTTCTCTCTTTCAAGTTTATGGTATGATATTGATGATCATTTAGATTCTTTTGTCCAAAATATTGCAAGTCTGTGGCTTCCCTTCTTATCAGAAGTAGCTTCCTTGTTCCTTATTGCACTTGGCATTGACAGTTATTAAAGTTCTGAAGTTTACACTATCATAGTGTGTTGAGAAAAGACCATGTATATTTTGAGATAAGACTGAGATAAAATGGAAAACTCTGGTTTTTGACGATGATTTATGAATGCAATTTGCTGTTGCCCCACTACTTTAAAATGCCTGCTTAAGTTCAGCTCACAAGTGGCATCTTTGAGAGTTTTACCGAATTATTTTTGTAACTCATTCCTTTTGGGATATAAGAAAAGGCGAACGTGGTAACCATAATTAAAATTGGTTTTGCTTTTAAAATTAGGGAGGCATAAAATGAGAAAACAACCCAATGCACTAGTATAATGTACCCGAGTTATCTGTATCAAAATTTTCACATATACTAGATTGCTTCTAAGTACACTGAATAATTAGTAGAATGTGGCAGTTATTTTTCTTGCAGCACGATTCTACGAATGGTAGTGAGATGAATGATCAGCTAACTTATTTTCTGTCACTTCAAGGGAAGAATGTTGGCCAGAACACTCTACAAACTCTGTGTTCCTTTAAGTAGTGTCATAGTAGTTTTATTTCCCCTTAAATCTGGGATCAGTTTAATGGCTGCTGCAGTATTATAATACATATTCAGTACTGCACTGCAAGGCCAGCCTAGATTGTAGCCTTGGGTTACAGTGAGACTGAAGTCTTTATTCCGAGGTAACCAACTAAGCCAGTCAAACTCCATATCTATATAAAATTAAAAATATTAGTTTGTATTTATAGTAAATATCCATTGACATGATTTTTATTTTTAAATATTCTCATTTTCTGTTTTCTCAGGAAACGACGATGGTAAGAGGAGATGAAATGAATGCAAATATGTATGAACTAACTTAGTAATGCAACTTCTACAGTTTAGTTTGTGGTGTAAAATACTTACTGTTTTTATTTCTTAAAAAGACGAGTACTCCTTTAGGAGTGGATCTAATTATCTTCCTTCAGTTAGTTTTAATCAGAAAAAAGTATTCCAAGTGCAAAGTGAGAGAAGTATCACTTGGGTTGGGTGGAAGTTGTAGTTTCAAATTTGCTTGCAGTTTAGTTCTTAATAGATTCTGATCAGAGATAAAAGTTGCCACTAACATGAGTTTTAAAAAAAAATTCAGCACTCAAGAAATTTATTTAATTGGTTACCTTTTTTATTTATATTTATTGTCTTGACGAACAGCTCTGCAAAGTTGATTAAACAAATATGTCACTTTGGCACCCTTGATGGCTTTTAAAGGAAAGGTATAAATCTGTCTTACAGGGTTACCCTGGCTTGGATAAGTACGTCAGCTAGTGTTGCAAAAAGCTGTACAAAGGCGAAAAACTACTAGTTTGATGGATGAATTATGTTTAGCTAGCTAATCTCAGCTGGGATGGCATTGGTGATATTACAACTGATCTCCTCATCTCATTTTGGGTGTGGAAAGTTAGGGTTCTATTAGTTGGTTTCAGTGACTTTTATTGGAAGATGCCTACATCTTTACATTTTTAAGAACAGCTTTAAAGTCAACTGTGATGTTCCAGCGCATCGTGTAGTCTGCTCCAAATGCAGCAGGATGTAAATAATACCCAAGTTTGGGCTGACAAGTGGCAAGTAATATATTACCATGCAAATGTCATGCAATTACCATCTCCAGCAAAAGGCAATGTAACCATCGCCCCGTGCCATTTAAAGATTACTGAATCCCCCTACTATCAACTTCCTGGAGGTTACCATTGATCAAAAACTAAACTGGACTCCACACACAAATACCATGGCTACAAGAGCAGATCAGAAACTATGGGTCTTGCAGTGAGAAACTCATCTCCTCATTCCCCAAAGCCTGTCCACCATCAGCACAGCAGAAATTAGGATAATGATGGAATACTTGCCTGGATGAGTGCAGCCCCAAAAAAGCTCAAGAATCTTGATACCATCCAGGATAAAGTGGCCAACCCGATTGGCACCATATGTACAAGCATTCATTTCTTCCACCACCAATGTTCAGAAGCAGCAGTGAGTGGCATCTTCAAGATGCAGTACAGAAATTAACCAAGGCTGCTAAGATAGCAACGTCCAAGCCAATAACTGGTACCATCTAGGAGGGCAAGGGTAAAAGATACATGGAAACACCACTTGCAAGTTATATTGCCATTCTTTCTGTGTCACTGGGTTAAAATTCTAGAATTCCCTCCCTAATGACACTGGATATAGCTGCACCAAATGGTTTGTAGCAATTCAAGAAGGTAGTTCACTACTTTCTCAATGGCAAGTAGAGATAGACAATATATGCTGGCACAGTTATTGTTGCCTTCATCCATGCATGGAAAAAAAATAGCCTGCCTAGTACTTTCTGTCTTGGCTTACAAATGAGTCTTTTTGGTAAGATTCCACGGAGCTACTGGTGCAAGTGGTACTGACTTCAGTATAAATTTTGAACCTTTTGGGGAAGGAGAAACATGGTGGAATAATCATTTATATTTTATGTTAACTGTGGTAGGATATTTCCTATCTTTTGCCATAGATAATGATACTATCTTTATATCCACAGGCGAGTCTTTCTACAAGTGGTTGGAAGGTAATAACTGAATATGTGCACAAAATGCTTAAAAAATCAATTCAGTTAAAGCTACCTGGAGCAGCCTAATTGAGCTGTTTGTTCAGCAAATTGGAAATGTAAATAAAGAATACAGCCAACATTTTTGTGTGGCTTCCAAATCCACTTTCACCTAGCTCTGAGCTTCCATGGTTCGCTAGGTACTCAAATGTGAGAGTAACAATATCTTTTATGATCATGATTTCTTAATGTAATGGAACAGGTGATGCAGACAAAAATAAATTACATTTTGTTAATCATTATAAGTTCAAAGGTTTTGTTGGATTGCAGTTTAGTGCTGCTAGTTGATGTCTCTACAATTTACTGTAAATCATTTTTTTTTTGTAGTAAGTGTCCTCAGAGGCTTTAATATTTCAGTACAGTCCTCATTTTCTAAATAGTCTTTATCAATATCTGAAGAGATCCAAGCTTTAATTTTAAAACTCTATTGCACATTTAAAGAGTGCATGGAGAAACTGCAGTAATTGTTCATTCCTGTCTGGCACAAAAATAAAACTGGAGAGCTGGTTTGACAAAGCTAACAAGGAAAACTAGGGGTAGTATTAAATCCAAGGCAGGGGCATACAAATTGATCCCAAAAAAAACAGCAGACATGAAGTTTGTGAGCAATTTAAATGTCAGCAAAGGAGGACAAATGAATTTATTCAGAGGGGGGATAATAGAGTACAAGAATAAACTTGTAGAGAATATGCAATCTGATTGTAAAAGCTTCTATCAGTACGTGAAGAGAAAAAGATCTGTGCGAGCAGATGAAGATCCCTTTACAGTCAGAAATAGGGGAGGTTATAATGGTTAACAAAGAGGGCAGCCCATTTAAGTACCAACTTTGGTTCTGTCTTCACAAGTGAGGGCACAAATAACATTGGGGAACATGGGGTCTAGTGAGAGGGAGGAACTGCAGGAAATCTGTTAGCAGAGAAATGATGTTGGGGAAATTGGGATTAAAATCCAATACATCACTAAACCTGATAATCTACACCCAAGGTACTTGAGGAAGTAGTATTAGAAATAGTGGATACATTGGTGATCTTTCCAGATTCTATAGACTCGAACAGTTCCTGTGAATTGTACGGTGGCTGATATAACCCGACTATTTAAGAAAGCTGACAGAGAGAAAATTGAAGAATAGACAGGTTATCTTGACATGGTACGGGGATATGCTAGAGTCCATTATGAAATGTTTAGTAACAGTGACAGGATCAGATAGAGTCAGCATGTAACTGTGAAAGGGAAATAATGCCTAATAAATCTACTAGAATTTTTTGAGGATGTAACTTTTGGAATTGATAAGGGGGAACCAGTGGAAGTGGTTTACTTGGACTTTCAGAAGCCTTTTGTTAAAGTCCCAAACAAGAGATTAGCATGTTAAAATTAAAGCAGATGGGATTGGTGGGTAGAGTACTGACCTAGATGGAGAACTGCTTGGTGAACAGGAAGTAAAGAGTAGGAATGAACAGATCTTTATAAGTGGTAGACTAGTGGTAGCAGCACCAAGGATCAGTGTATGGACCCTAACAATTCACAATATATATAAATGATTTAGATATTTTTGTTAACGAGCATCTATGGGACCAGGAGTGTGCTGGTTGCACAAATATTCCAGTTGATCAAGAGGTCCACATAATCGCACAGTAAAAACACACAGTAATGGGAACATAATGCAGGGGTTATACTTTTATTTACAGCCTGAATCACTTAAATAATAATGTAACCTTGCTTTAAAACTTACTGGCAGAGAGCCTTCTTGCTCTGACCCACAACTGACTACTTGGACGTTCGCAGAGATCGTGATAATATGGTAAACCTCCGGTATTTCAGATGTATAATTTTTACTGGCTCATCTAGAGTGCTGTTTCATAATGTGCCGGTTAAACCAAAGTTTGCCATATCTCCAAGTCTGCAGATGATACAAAACTAGGTGGGAGGGTGAACTGGTGAGGAGAATGCAATGATATTTCTTTGTAATTTGGGCAAGTTGAGTTGGTAGGCAAATGCATGGCAGACAAAGTGTAATATGGATAAATATGAAGCTATCCACTTTAGCAGTAAAAGCAGGAACAGATTATTCTGTAAATGGTGATAGATTAGTAGTGAGCTTACTTAATTCTGAGCTTATGGCCATAATTAATTTTCACAGTTATGGTGTATGCTTTCTGATGTTCAAAAAGCAAACTAGTGTGGTGTATTTGAGAAATAACTATACAGAGAAATACTAATCATTAGTTAGGTTTTATTTCAATAAAACATGATTAGATATCGATACTAAGCTAGATGCTGGAGTTAGTGAAAGGATTGATGGAAGAATTCTGAACCATTTTAATCTCTCAAGCGTCCTTCTGAGCTCCTTTGGAATGAAACATTAGAAGTTTTCTAGTTTAATGTGAAGGTAAATGTATATACTCTGTAAATAAAATGGTACATTTTTCTGCGGTGCAAAATAAACCACCTGTACTCTGATTTTACTGATTATCTGAATGTTTATGCTTGTAGGTCTATGCCTTGAAAAGAGAGTCTTTTACAGGCTGATTTCTGGGCTTCATGCTAGTATCAATCTACACCTCAGTGCAAAGTATCTCCTTGATGGTAAGTGCAAATAATTTCCTAATTTAAAAATTTAGAACATTTTGTTCAGGCCAGAGAGTTATTTACTGGTTAACTTGCAGTAAGTATCAATGTATTGGAATATTAAGATGTTAGTTCAGAGTGTCTGGTTTTCTCAAAATTTGTTGATTTTGTTCAATCAGATGAGATTAATTTATGCTTCATAATGAAGGCACCCACTTGATTGCAGTGATCATAATGATTGAATAATATATAGTTTTGTGTTACAACTCTCAATGTTGCTAATTCCTCAGGAGGCTAAGGAAATTTGGCATGTCCACAACCACTCTTACTAATTTTTATAGATGCACCATGGAAAGCATCCTATCTTCCCAAGACTGCAAGAAACTACAGCAAGTTATGAACACAGCCCAGTCCATCATGCAAACCAGCCTTCCATCGATACTTCCTGCTGCCTTGGGAAAGCAACCAACCTAATCAAAGACCCCTCCCACCTGGTTATACTCTTTTCCATCAGGCAGAAGATATAAAAGTTTGAATACATGTATGAACAGATTCAAGAACAGCTTCCTCCCTGCTGTTCCCCAACTTTTGAACAGACCTCTCAAAGGTTAATTCTGATCTCCTGCTCTCTCCACTTTCTCTACGGCTGTAACACTGTATTCTGCACTCTGTTCCACTACCCTGATGCACCTTTATATGGTAGGATCTGCCTGTATAACACACAAAATAACACTTTCTTTTCACTGTATCTTGAAACACAACAATAATAAATCAAACTCAAACTCACCGGAGTAGTGCGCTGGCGATTGAGCCTTAATATTTCCAAAGTCGTCACAAAACTCAAAGATTTTAAAAAGTATGGAAAGTCTTCCAATTTACTTGATTTTCAAATCAAGTTTCATAGAAAGCGTGGTCCAAGTTTCTGAACTAATCAAAAGAACTATTCATTGCAAGTAATTAGACTGTAGCTAAAGGTAAACAGTTATAAACTGTCAGAATGTAACACTACAAATCCTGTTATAAACCCCCCCCTTACAAGCACACAGACAAATATACAGGGAAAACAGGTTATTGGCAGTGTGAAAGCTGAAAGACAGTTCAGTGGGGTTTGTTCCCTGATTCTGTTGCTGAAATGATTCTTATGACTCTTTTGCTAGCTAGTGTGTTCCTTCAGTTGTCTTTTTCCAGGTCTTTGTCAATTATTTGTGAGAGAGGACAAGGTGGCTGGTTCACGTAAGAAAGGCTCTGACTTAAAAGTCACAGATTACAACAACTTGCAGGGAAGTTAAGCTGGTATTCTTCAGATTTAAAGTTCATTTTGATGCAGAGAATAGAAAGGCTGCTTTTGAACTGGGGAAGAACTAAGCACTTGTCTCTGTATCTTGTACCCATCTATGAGCTGTTTAGGTGCCAAAGAACCAATCTCTCAGTTGTTGGTAGGCAAGAAATCTCTGTCATTGATAACTAGCCATTAGTCCGTAGACCATTCAACTTGTCGCCAGCCAGAAATGCATCCGTACACCCGCTCTGTTTCAATTTGTCTCCAACCAAGCATCAATTACTGATTGTTCAATCAGCTGTTTGAACAATGCTTGGCCTGGATGTCCGATTACTTCCTTTCAAAACATACAGCACTCTTACAAAACACTTTTTTTAAAAAAAACTAATCTTTCTCACTTTGGTCTGCGATTTTGCAAAGCGCAAAAATAAAAAGATGTACTCCTTACATGCCTCTGTTCTTGAGGAATTGAAAGACCGTTTCAAAAAATTTTTTCATTACAAGGCATGTGACAAACAACAAAACAGGACAATCCATTTTTTTTCCCTCTGTCTTCTCCCCACCCTTTACACAATCTCAGTATTCCTAAAACCTTCAACTTATTCTAACATTTTACTTTCAGGATAAAGAATCTGGAATTACATTATCTTTTGCAGTAATTCTTTTTTTTACATGAAATGGTTGCAACAGAAAACTCCTGACAGAATTGTCTTGCATCCTTATTTTTAAACCTTTTCAGTGAAGGCTAGTGGATTATGATCAGTGTAAGTTATCACTTCTTCCTTCTTTCATTGCTGGATATAGACTTCGAAAGGTGAAGAGCTAACAGTCCCAAAGTGGCTGCTTCTGCAGCAGAATACTTTTTTTTTGGTAGGTGATCAGTTAGGTCAGTTGGCTGGATGGCTAGTTTGTGAGGCAGAGTAATGCCAGTGATGTGGGTTCGGTTCTCACATCAGTTGAGATTACCGTGAGGATCTCGCTTTCTCAACCTGCCCCTTTTTCCTGAGCCATGATGATCTTCAGGTCAAACCACTGTCAGTCATTTGAGAGAGAGCAGTCCTTTGGTCCAGTAGGACTTTGGTTTTACTTCTGGTTTAGTTTCTTAGAGAAGCATCCACTAACTTACCTATTTTCACTTATCGTACTGTGACAAGACAGCACCTACTCCTAGATCGCGAGCATCAATTGCCATTTTGAAAGATTTAGAAAATCAGGACCACTAACACTGGTTCATTCATTAAGGTGGTCTTCTTCATTTTAAATGCTGCTTGGCATTCTGCTGACCATACCACTTCTGCTTGTTTCTTTAACAAATTTGTTAAAATTACAGCTATCATACTGAAAATACAGTCAAACTGTAGGGGTAACAGGTACTTGCTCTGGCTCATGTATCATGAGAAGTCAGGTTGTTAGTTAATTCAAGTAACACAAATGATTAGAATGTCAAATAGCACTTTATTGTTTATTGCTAGAAGAATGGAATATAAAAGGCTAGGTGGCTTAGCCATGGGAAATGCAGAGTTACAGCAATAGGGTATGGAGGTGGGTCTAGGTGGCTTGCTGTTTGGAGGGTAGGTATGGACTTGATGGGCCGAAAGGCCTGCTTCCACACCGTAGTGATCCTACGATTCTATGAAAGGTAAGGATGTTTTGCTCCTGTTGTACAGTTTTGGTCTCCTTATTTAAGAAATGATCTAATTACATTATAAGCAATTTGCAGAAGGTTGATTTGGTTTTGGTGATGGGAGAAGGGTAACGCTTTCAAGAAACGTTTGGTCAGATAAGACCTGTTTCCGTTGCAGTTTAGATGAACTTGTGAGCATCATAGTGAGATAGAGAAGATCTTGAGGAAACTTGACAGGATGGTTGCAGGGCACAGTTTGAATATGAAGGATTTCCCGTTTTAAGATAGATGAGGAAAATAACTTTGAGGCTGAGGTTGTAGACTTGCTCGCCGAGCCAGTGCGTTTGATCGCAGATGTTTTGCCACCCTGCCAGGTAGCATTGTCAATGTGCCTGCAGTGAAGTGTTGGTGTTCTGTCCAGCTTGTTATTTAAATGCCTCAATTTGCTGGGGTGGTTGGCATCACTTCTGGTTCTGTTTTTCAGTGGTTTGTATATCGAGTCCAATTCAATGTGTTTGTTGATGGAGTTCCGGTTGGAATGCCAGGCCTCCAGGAATTCCCTGGTATGTCTGTTTGGCTTGTGCTACTATGGATGTGTTGTCTCAGTCAAATTCATGTCCTTCTTTGTCTGTGTGTTTTGAGACCAGTGAGACTTGGTCGTGTCTCTTGGTGGATAGCTGGTATTCATGTATCCTTATTGTCAGTTTTCTTCCAGTGTGGCCTATGTAATGTTTCTCACAGTCCTTGCATGGTATTTTGTATAATACGTTAATTTTATTTGTTGTGGGTATGGGATCCTTTACATTTGTCAGTAGCTGTTGCAGGGTGGTTGTTGGTTTGTGGGCTACCCTGGAGTCTGAGTAGTCTTGTAGTCATTATCTGATAAGTCTCTGATGTATGGTAGGATGACTAGTGAGTCTGGCCGGGTTTGTGTCGTCTTGTTGTGGTCTGTCGCGGAGGTAACGGCAGATTGTGCTTTTTGGGTATTCATTCCTTTTTGAAAACTCTGTATAAGTGCTCCTGTTCACTTTGCGCAGTTCCAGATTGTTGCAATGTTAGTATCCTCATGTAGCTCTGTTAATGGATGTTGAAGTGTAATTGAATATCTGGTCCATACATGTGGTCTTTCTGTATACACTAGTCTGGAGCCCCCTGTTCTTACGTTCTACCATTGCCTAGGAAGGGTAGTCAGTTATTGTTCTCCCCTTCTTTTGTGAATTTTATTCCGGTAAGGATGTTGTTTGTGTGTCAGTGGATTTCTTCTAGTCTTGTGCATTTGATAATCACGAAGATATTATCTACATAGCGGACCCAGAGTTTGGGTTGTATAGTGGGGAGTGCTATCCGTTCTAACCTTTTGCATTACCACTTCTGAAATCAGCCCTGATGTGGGGGATCCCATTGGTGTTCTGTTGATTTGTTTGAATATACGGTCGTTGAAGGCGAAGTGGGTTGTGAGACACAGATCCAGCAGTTTCAGTGTTCTGTCCTTGTTGGTGTTGTGGGGTGCCTGCCTTTCTAATTCGTCCAGCAGTGTGGCAATTGTCCCTTTGGCTAAGTCGATGTTTACGGATGTAAATAGTGCTGTTATGTTGAAGGATATCCTCATCTCGGCCTCTTCTGCCCTGGTGTCCTTGATGATGTTGAAGAATTCTTAGGAAGATTGGATGGAGTGGGTAGTGTTGTCAACTAAAGTATTTCAGTTTCTGCAGTTCTTTGGCTAGTCTATATGTTGGTGTGCCTGGTAGGGGTCTGAGGGAACTCATCCACAACTTGAGCTACAAATCTTCTCAAAAACTTTTTTAACTTTTGAGGCTTCCAGTCTCTGAAATTCTTTCCTGGAGAGAGATGGATGTAGGGTCACTTAATAAGTTCTTCACTTTTGATCATCTCATTAGTTATCAGGCAGGAGTGGGAAGCTGAGGCCCCAATCAGCTTTCACTGAATTGCAGAGGATGTTCAAGGAACCCATATTTCATAAATTTATGGTTGTTCTACTAATTCCACTGTAGCAGTTGATATCTTTTCAGTCTCACCACAATGCACTTTTACAACTGAATTTTTTTAAAATAAGATGCAAAAGAGCAATAATTATTGCTGATGGGAACTGCCTTTTTATGAATGTGGTTTGCTGGAATGAAGGATGACGGTTAGAGTGTGCAGTGAATGTGTTTTACCTGGCCAGATGATTACTTTCTTCATGTACTACGAAATTGTGTATTCATTGACCAGTAACAATCTTTTCTTTTAAATCTAGGTATTACCAGTTGTAATGCATTAACTGAAAGCATCATTCCTAATTTGTCACTTTACCTATTATTTAACGTGTTGTTTCAGATGGGTGGGGAAGAAATAAATGGGGACCAAACTTAGAAGAATTCCAATCTCGGTTTCATCCTACTGAAACAAAAGGAGAAGGTCCAAGAAGGTTGAAAAACCTCTATTTTTTGTACTTAATTCAACTAAGAGCTTTATCTAAAGTAGCTCTATATTTTGAACGTTCAATTGTCGACTTATACACTGGAAATGCAACAGAAGATGCAATTACCAAAAAGCAGCTGCTGGAAGTTCTCAAGGAAACCAAGTAAGAAAAATACTTAATGGCATGTGACACAAGAATGGTTGTATAAAATTATTTTTCGGTAGCTGACATTTTAAAACTCTTGCAGAAAGTGTGAAAGAATTAGCAACAAGAGAGTTGATCTCTTGCATTGCCTTAAAGAAAGTCGAGTGTTGAATTGGCAGCTAATATTTATCGTGCCCTGCATGACTAAATTTTAGCACTTTATTTTTAAAATTTAGTTTTTTGATATCATGTACACTTTATGGATGGGAATACTGACTTAGTATGTGGGCATCCAGTGATTTCAGTATTGCTGGGACTTTGAGATGTCATCCAGTTATTCTAGCCAATGAGACTTAAATTTACGTTTTTTCTGAGATTAAGTTGATATCATATTATGAGCTCAAACACCAAAACAGACTTGTTGAAGTGCATGGCTGGCTGGTTTTGTACTGAGAAATTCTATGTAGTATCTAAAATGGGGATAGGTTCAAGATTTGATCTACTGTTTGCTATCCTGAGAGTTGACCAGTCAATAAGAGGAACTACTTGCTTTTATATAGAGTCTTCATTATAGTAAAATGTTCGAAGAATTTTCACAGCAACCAAAAATTGACACTGGGCCACAGCCTTTCTGCTAGTCAGCCAGCTCTGAGAGTTTCCTGCCATTCCATGCAGGCTGTTTAAAAACACACACTTCCTTGAAAGTGAGGGGTTTTATCCATAATCTAGTTCAGTCCAACAAAGTTTGGGACAGTACCAAATCTTGATATTGGAGATGTGCCTCTTGTTACAAAGTTTTATTTGACCTGACATCTTATTTCTCTATCATAGTCTTGTCAGCATCTCTCAACTGTATTCCTCATTGCTTCATTGATTTTTTTATTTGTTTGTTTGTTTTTTAATCATACTTAAAAGCATAGACGATGGGAGCAGGAGTAGACCATTTGACCCCTTGGGCCTGTTCCACCATTGAATACGATCATGGCTGATAATCAAGCTCAATACCCTTTACCCACAAGAGCTATATCTACCACCTGTTTTGAATGCACAATGTTTTGGCCTCAACCACATTCTGTGCTAATGAATTCCACAGGCTCACTACTCTCTGACGTTTCTCCTTCATCCTAAAAGGTTTACTCCTTTATTCCTAAACTATGACCCGGTTCTGGACTTCCCCACCATCGGAAGTATCCATTCTGCATGTAACTTATCTAGCCCTATAAGAATTTTATGGGGTTCTATAAGATTCTCTCTCATTCTTCTAAAATCCAGCCAGTAAAATCCTAACTGACTCCATCTCTCCTCATATGTCAAGTCTTGCCATTCCAGGAATCAATTTGCTGAACCTTTGATGCACACCTTCTATGGCAAGAGCATACTACTTCAGATAAGGAGACTAAAACTGTACATAGTATTCCATGCGTGGCCTCACCAATGCCCTGTATAACTGCAGCAAGACATCCTTGTTCCCATACTTGAAACCTCACGCAGTGAAGGCCAACATACTGTTTGCCACATTTCCTACCTGCTGCATCTGCATACTTCCTTTCACTGACTGGTGCATGAGGACACCCAGGTCTCGTTGAACATTTGCCTCTCTTGGTTTACAGCTATTCAAATAATAATCTGCTGCCTTATTTTTGCAACCAAAATAAATGACCTCATTTTATCCACATTATACTGCATCTGTCATACATTATGCCCATTCACTCTGCCTGTCCAGATCACACTGCAGCATCTCCGCACCTTTCTCAATTTGCTGTTCCACCCAATTTGATTCATCTGCAATTTGAGATATAATTAGTTCCCTTGTCTAAATCATCATTAACATATTGTGAATAACTGGGGTCCTAATACCAATCCCTGAGGTACCCGACTAGGAGCTGCCTGCCATTCAGAAAAAAGACCTGTTTTCTTTCCTGTCTGCTAACCAATTTTCTAACCACCTGAATACACTACATTCCCATCCCATGCACTTTAATTTTCTGTATTAATCTCCTTGTGGGATTTTTGTCAAGAGTTTTGTAACTCCAAACTCTCTCATCCACTGTCTCCTCTGATCAAGTCTAATAATTACATCTTTGAATACTTCCAGTAGATTTGTCAAGCATAATTCCCTTTTGTAAAGTCATCCTTCTGATTCTACTGCTGTTTTCTAAGTGCTCTGCTATAAAAACCTTGGTAATGGACTCTCGCATCCTTCCCCCACAACTGAACGCGGGCTCACTGGTCTATAATTCCCTTTATATTCTCTACCTCCCTTTTTTTTTAAAAGATACTGGGATTACATAATCACCCCATGCCCCACTGCCCTAATAACTTGCAAATTATAATCTCTTTACTCCTCTCCTTTCTCAGTTGCTGCACCATCTCATCTTTGTTCATTTTACATTTCACCATTTGTCCTAAGTGAACCTTGAACTTTTAAACCTTCTCAATCATAGGCTGCTCGCTTCAGGTGGCCTTGGTATTGCAGACTTGTTTTCTTCAGAAACCTGTTTTTACTTTTCTACTTCACATTTGTGTGCTACCTACTTAAAAGACTTCTGTGCTTACCCTTCTTTTCCTGATTCAGCCTTTGCAATTGCTGACACATTTGAGGTTCTCTCAGCTTATTCGGATGGAAGCGAGGGCTACGGGGGGGGATGACCTAACTGATCACAGCACCATAGTACACGAAACTGAGGGAATAAGGAGGACTGTAGTGGTAGTCGAGAGCAGTTTAGTGAGAGGAATTGACAATGTTCTCTGCAGCAAAGACCTTGAATCCAGGCAAATAAGAGGCCTGTCCAATGCCAGGGTTTGGGACATCTGCTCAGGGCTTGAGGAATTTACAGCAGCAGGAGGAGGAGGATCCAGTTGTCGTGTTCCATGTAGGTAACAACAACATAGGCAGGACAAAGGTGGAGGTTTTGCGTAGTCCATGTGAAGAGCTAGGCAAAAACCTCAAAAGTTTAATCTCTGAATTACTATTTGAACCACGTGAAAAGTGGCAGAAGGCAAGTTGGATTAGAGGGATGAATGCATGACACAGTGGTTCTGATTTGTGGGCACTGGCACCAGTACTAGGAAAGTGGAGATCTGTCCTGATGGGACAGTCTGCGCTGTGCTGAAGCCAGTATTCTTGCCAACCACATAACCAAGGACGTATATAGGATTTGAAACTGAATATTGAGAGCAAGAGACTAAGTTGGGAAGGATTTGGGAAACCAAACCTGTGAGAAAGATATTAACACAGAAAATGTTAAACAGACTGTGTTCGAGAGGTGTAGAGTATTTGAATCCAAGAGTCAATCAACCGATAAAACTAAAGGCTTCGTATCCAAATGCAAGTAGCCATTGGAACAAAATGTCTGAACCATGAGTTCCAGCAAACATTAATACTACGATCTGGTAGCTATTACAAAGACATGACTCCAGGATGACATGGACCTAAATCTTGAAGGATAGGGAAGTAGGAAAAAGTGGAAGGGTAGCTATGTTGCATAAATGATAGCACAGGACCCAGGCTGTGGAAACAATTTCAGAAGAAATGATGATGAAAGCAAGTCACTTGTAGGAGTGATGTACAAGGGCCTTAACAGTAACCACACAGTGGGGTAGGATATAATGGAAGAAATAATGGGGATTTGTCAGAAAGACACAGAAATAACCTGGGAGATTTTAATCTACATAGTGACAGAAAAATTCAAATGAACAAATCTAGCTTTGAGTTCAGTGTTTAGTAGTATCTGCGCACAATATGTTCTGGAGGCAACCAGAGAGCAGGCTATAATAAACACGGTGTTATATAATGAGAGATAATTAACTAATGTTTTTCTTCTAGTGTATTCACCCCTAAGTAGCAGTGACTATAATAGGGTGGAAACTTTACATTTAGTTTGTATTTTTTAATCAACCTGTGTAGGGATGTTATAACACACTTCTGAAGCAGGTGGGACTTGGACCTAGGCCCCCTAGCTCAAAGGTAGGAATACTATTGCGGCACCACAACAACCCGCATGCTTTCAGTTTGAGGAGAGAGAGGTGAGTCCAAGACACATTTTTAAATTAGATGGTGGTGACTATGATATGAAAGCCAAGTTGGCTAAAGTGAGTGGACACCTTATCCTAAAGGAAAAGTCAATAGAGATGCAATGGCAGTCATTGAGGGGATATTTCTGAAATACAGAACAGATCCATTCCAACAAGTAAGAAGTTTTCCAAGGGACTCGCCATTCTGTTTTTTTTAAGAAAAAGTATGTAATTGTACAAAGACAGGTGGCAGTTCAGAAAATTGAACAGAATATAAGAAAACATCATAGAATGACCAAAAAATTAATAACGAAAAATTGGAGTGGGAGAGAAGGCTAACCAGAAATCTCAAAACAGTGAGTTTCCATAACTTTTTTAGTGACTGTTGATTCTGTAGAAAGTCAAACTAGAGACTTAAAAATGGAAAACGAGGAAATGGCAAATGAATTGAACAAGTATGTTGCATTTGTTTTCACTGTTAGAGAATGCAAGTAGAATCCCAGAAGAAGCTATAAATCAGGAAATGGAAGGAGGGCAAAGTTCAGGAAAATCGCAATCCCCGGAGATAGTACTGTGTAAATTGTTGGAGCTGTAGACTGAGAAGTGTCTGGGTGTCGATAGACTTCACTGTTGTGCCCAGTGAGAGAGTTGATGCATTGATTTTGATTTTCTAAACTTACCTTCATTCAGGGACAGTCCTATTAGATTGGAAGATAGCAAACCTAATGTCTTTATTCAAAATGAGGGAGACAGAAAGCTAACAAACTAGGAAACTACAGGCCAGTTAGCTTAACGTTTATTATCTCAGATGCCGAAAGCTATCATTAAAGGTGTCATAGCAGGCGCTTGGATAAGTTCAAGTCAATCTTGTAGAATTGGTTTCATGGAAAGGAAATGATATTTGATAAATTTATTCAAGTATTTTGAGTGAGTAACACAAGCGAAGAATAGGGAAACTGTTGGGTATACTGAACTTAGATTTCCAGAAGGTATTTAATAAGGTGCCATATCAGAGGGTTTTGTTTTTTGTTTTTAGTTCATTCACAGGATGTGGGCATTGCTGGCTAGGCTGCATTTATTGCCCATCCCTTTTGGCTCTTGAGAAGATGATAGTGAGCAACCTTCTCTAACTGCTGCAGTCCTTTCTGTGATAGATACACCCACAATAATTCTTGGGGAGTTTCGGGATTTTGAGCCCGTGGCACTAAAGGAATGAAAATTATTTGATGTTGCCAAATCATGATAGTAAGTGGCTTGGAAGTGGACTTGCAGCTGATGGTGTTGCTAGGTATCCGCTGCCTTTGTTCTTCTTCTAGGTGGTGGTGGTGTATTTGGTAGGTGCTGTCTAAGGAGCCTTGGTCAATTTCTGCAGTGCATCTTGTAGTGTGTACTACCTACTGCTACTGATCATCGGTGGTGGTTGATTTGAATCTCTGTGGATGTGCTAATTAAATGGGCTGCTTTGACCACAATGATGCCAACTTCTTGAGTGCTGCTTGATGCTCATCTAGACAACTGCAGGGTATTTCATTACACTCCTGACCAGTGCCTTTCAGGATAGTGGACAGGCTTTGGGGAGCCTGGAGGTGAGTTACTCACTGTAGGATCTACCTCTGGCCTGCTCTTGTAGTCGCAGTATTTCCACAATTAGTCCATTTCACTTACTGGTGAGTGATATCCCCGTTTACTTGTTGCAGCAAGTAAAAGCTCCTGATGTAGGGAGTATTGTATTAACATGGATAAAAGATTGGCTGGCTAACAGGAACCAGAGAATTTATGTAAATGCATCGTTTTCAGGTTGACAGGATGTAACAATTGGTGCTGGAACCTCAACTGTTTGCAATTTATGTAACTGACTTAGGATGGAAGGTATGTTTGCCTGCTGTTTTTTGTCCTGAATGGCGTCAAGCTTGTGTGTTGGAGCTGCACCGTCCAAGCAAGGAGGGAGTATTCCATCACACTCCTGGCTTAGGATGGACCTCAATGATGTCAACTTCTTGAGTGCTGCTTGATGCTCATCTAGACAATTGCAGGGTATTTCATTACACTCCTGACCAGTGTCTTTCAGATAATGGACAGGCTTTGGGGAGTCAGGAGGTGAGTTACTCGCCAGAGTATTCCTAACCTTTGACCTGCTCTTATAGTCACTGTTTATGTGACAGATCTTGAGTTTCTGATCATTGGTAACTCCAAGGATGTTTTACAGTGGGGAATTCAGTGATGGTATCATCACTGAATGTCAAGGGGTCATACAGCATGGAAACAGACCTTTTGGCCCAATTTTTCCTAAAATGAGCTGGGCCCATTTTGCCCGCATTTGGCCCATATCACTCTTTTTAACAACTTTCCTTTCTGTGTAGCTGTCCAAAAATTTTTAATGTTGTAACTGTACCTGCATCTACCTCTGGAATTCATTTCATATATGCACCCACCCAGTTTGTGAAAAAGTTGCCCCTCGGGTTCCTCAAATCTTTTCCCTCTCACCTTAAACCTATGCCCTTTAGTTGAGGACTCTTCCCCGGGGAAAAGACCTTTTGGCTATTCATCTTATCTGTGCCCCTCGTGATTTTATAAACTTCTATAAGGTCACCCTTCAGCCTTGAATGCTCCAGTGGGAAAAGGTCCCAACTTATCCAGCCTCTCCTTTTATAATTCAAACCTTCCAGTCTTGGTAACATCCTTGTAAATCTTTCTTGCACCTTTTTCCAGTTTAATAACATCCTTCCTACAGCAGAGTAACCAGAATTGTATGCAGTACTCCAAATGTGGCCTTACCAATATCTTGTACAGCTGTAGCACAATGCCCCAACTCCTGTACACAATGCTCTGACCGATGAAGGTGTGTACCAAATGTTTTCTTCACCAACCTGTCTACCTGTGATGCCGCTTTCAAAAAGCTATATACCTGCACCCTTAGGTCTCTCTGTTCAACACTACTCCCCAGGGCCTGTCCACTAACTGTGTAAGTCCTGTCCTAGTTTGTCTCAACAAAATGCAACAGCTCACATTTGTCTAATTAAAATTAAACTCCATCTGCCATTCCTCAGCCCACTGGCCCAGTTGTAATCAAGAGCCCATTGTACTCCTTAGATCACATTCATCACTGTCCACTATGCCACCAATTTTGGTGTCATCCACAAACCCCCTGACCAAGGCGCCTATATTCTCATCCAAATCGTTTACATAAAAGACGAACAACAGTGGACCCAGCACTGATCCTTGCGACACACCACTAGACAGGCTTCCCATCCAAAAAATAGCTGTCCGCCACAACCATCTGTCTCCTATCTTCAAGCCAACTTTGTATCCACTTGGCTAGCTGTCCCTGGAACCTATGTGATCTAACGTTACTAAGCAGCCTACAATGCGGAGCCTCGTTGAGGGCCTTGCTAAAGTCCATGAAAAATAGAGGCTTTGCCTAATTGGGAGACAGTGTAGATCAACAAGAAGCTACTGTGATAAATGAGCTGAATCTGGTGTAGGGTTAGCACTTGAGCAGCAGAATTTAGGATGACCTTGTTTTTGGAGGTTGCAGTGTGGGATGTTGGCTGGGAGTGTATTAGAATAGTAATATATGAAGGTTTTAACAAAATAAGTGAGTGAAAATGGATAGAGTCAAGTGATGATGTAGAGGTGGAAATGAGCCTTGTTAGTGATGACTCTGATGTGCAATTAGGTCCGAAATGCCAGCCTTCCTGCTCCTCTGATGCTGCTTGGCCTGCTGTGTTCATCCAGCTCTAAACCTTGTTATCTCTTATGTGCAATTGTCTGCTCACTCTAGAAAATTTTAGTTTTTTGCAGAATTCAAGGACAATGATTTTGGTCTGCCCAGTATTTACTTGAATGAAATTTCTGTTCATCCAGTACTGGATATCAGACTGGCAGTGAGACAGTTTTTTTTTTAGGAAGGCCAGAAATGGTGGTGAGGTAGAGCTGGATGTCATCTGTGTACATGCAGAAACTGACACTTTTTTTTGTTTTTGGAAATTGTCACCAAGGGGTACCCCACAAATGAGAAATTGGAGACAAAGGATGAAACCTTGGACATCAGAAGTATTGGTGTGAGAGGAGGTGGAGATGACATGGCAGAGAATTCCTTACAAATGATTAAATGCAGCTTTTGTTAATGGTAGACCACCAGCATTTCTTCAATTTAGAACAGCCACTGTCTTTTGACTGTTGCACAAAATTATACTAATGATTACTAAATTGAATATTACTGGTTCCATCATCATTCTCCTTCGCAAACTTAAATTGTTCTTGATTGAATCTGAATCTGTGTTTCACCAGGATCATTTCTTTCACCTCAGCCATTTTGGTGTTTATTTCCTGTGTGTGTATATTCCCAGTGCATTCTCCTTCACCTGTATGGAGTTACTTTTATCCAATTTGTTAGAATAAGGTTGCTACAATTAACACTGTTAAAGTAGTAGTGCCTTTCTCTACAGTCCTGTAGCTAGACTGACCAATGGTATGAGTACACCATCACGATTAGAAACTTGACTGTCCAACTTCTATTGTGCTTGGTTTAGAGCAATCAGTACAAGTGCTTTGTATGGCGCTATGTTCCTCCGGGTTAGGCTGTTGGGGTTGGGGGTGTGCAGAGAAAAACACCAGGGATCCCAATTCGGATTGCTTTGCTTTGTTCCTGTTTTCCTTTCCTTTTAAATTGTTTGTTTTATGCATTATTTTGCCTATTTTCTGGAAAATATAATTTGTTTGGGAATTAATGGTGTTTTGATTTTTCTGTAAAGTTCCAGTTTCATAAGCTATTGAAAGTTTGAACTATCCATCCCTTAGACTATGCCTTTTGATATTTGTTATGCATTACTGCAGAGCTTTATGAATTAGTTTCAGGATTGTTGTTTATATTTTGACTTTACAAGTTTTCCATTTAAAAATCTGTAATGTGTAGACCTTAAAATGCAATATTATTGTGTTCCTTTTTTCGAAATGTTGAAAACAATTTTTTAAATTACAAATTTGAAAAGTTGGTCTTTTTTTAATCTTCTCACTAATTGACCTGCATGTTCAAAACTTGGGCAATTAATTTAATTCAAATTAAACTTTACAGTATTCAGAATACATATAACTTTCCTTTGTAATAGGTCATTTCCTATGCATTTTGATGAAAAGTCCATGTTTGCAGGCAACAAGAAAGAAGCTAAAACACTAAAGGTAAAATGTCGACGTAGTATTTTGCATATTTTATGCAAAGAAATTCTGAAGTTTTTTTCCTAAAATTTTGTTAATTATAAGTTTTTTGCGTAATGTTTACTCAGTTTTTGTATTTAGTCAAGACGGAGGGCAGTAGATTTTTGAGTACAAAGTGAGAAAGAGTTCAGGAAGATGGAGTTAAGGTAGAAGATCAGCCATGATCTTGCTGAATGGCAGTGCAGATTTAAAGGGGCAACTGATCTACTCTGTTCCTATAATAATCCTATGTTTACTGATGTAGGAAAAATGTTCTCTTCAGATTTTCCATCTTTGTGTGTTATTGTTGCAAAATGGTTTTCAAGCAAATGTTGTTATTTTTAGCTGAATTTTTTTCTGATTGCACAGTTATTTTTTTTTCTCTTGCCTCTTCTGCCAAAGCTCCCTCTCAATTCCCAACTTAGTCCTTTTATTTTTCTATTCTTCTGCCTGTTTTACCACCACTATCTCAAGTTTTGATTCAATTCCTGGATAAGCCTAGCATTTCCTTCTATGCCTCTCTCCCTGCCTGACTAGCTTCTATCACATGATCGACCCAAGCTGTAGTGGTGGACCACGTCACTATATCACTGGTTGGACTTTTCCCTTTGCAATTCTATTTCTTTGACTTTTTTGACTTCCTAAGACTTCTTCCTTTTTTCCTTTTTTCCTTTTTTTTTTAAAGCAAAAAGAAACTCATGGCCTTGCCACCCAAGATCCACTGTTGGATTTCTCTTTGACATAACATCTCTCTGCCTCTGCACTGAGGAATTCCTCATTCTCTGTATCCATCTCACTCTCTGAAATTACTTCTCACACTTAAGCTTTACCTCTATATGAACTCTTCTAACCATATTTATGGCCAGCCCCTCTGCCATCTTGCCTGGCGTTCCTGCTCTCCTCATCTCTAACTCTTTCCTTGTATCTTTTAACATCTGGCTTCTCCTATCATCTTCCAAACCAATTTTACTCCAAATGTGCCGTAACTCGCTCAACTGTATCATCAAACTTCGTCCGTTTGATCCTCTCTGTATTTTCATATCTGTTGGGTTTTTCAACCAAGCCCTCATCTCCTTCTTCGCTATGTGTCTTCAGTTTGGGCTGTAAGCTTTCAACTGCCATCTCTAAATGTCTCCACCTATCCACTTTCTTTCCTCCTTTTAAGATTCACCTCTTTGACTTTGCTTTGCTAACATCGTCTGATTTCTCCTTTTGGCTTGGTATCCGCTTTTAGTTGATTAATAACTGTGAAGCTCCTTTGGACTCTGTTCTCGGTTAAAGGTGTTGTATAAATGTTACTGTTGCCATTGCTCCATATTTTATGCCTTAGCATTCGAAACAGTACATGCAGTGTGGGACAGCATACCCTCGTAGCTAGGCTCTTGTGTGCCTAACTGAAACAACGGAAAAGTAAAGATGACTCAGAAGTGGCGTAAATTGTGACTTAAGTTTCTACTGAAATACATGCATTCCTTTTTAAAATTAGCAAAAAATCTGAGATCAAAGGATATAGATAATTCTGTATGGTACCTTTCATATTGCCTGCTTAACTTGTGCTGACTTAAATCAATCATGCCTGACTCTGTACAAGGTTAAATTCAAGTAATGAGTTATGATTTTTAATCCTTTTTAATAGGAGGAATTCAGACTTCATTTTAAAAATATCTCCCGTATAATGGATTGTGTTGGATGTGACAAGTGCAGATTGTGGGGTAAACTTCAGGTTTGTTTCAAATGATATTCCCAAGTAATGCAAGCAATTTGGAGTGCAACTATGCTGTTTCTTAAAAAACTGTGGGAGCAAATGGAGTTTTATGTTGTGGCAAATCAGTATTCCTCATTTTTAAGGGACGCTGAGATGAGAAATGGAGCAAATCAAAACCCTGTGCCCCAGTTATTCGAGTAAATATGCCTGAAAGTACAATTTGGAATGCAGACTTTGAGATGCTGCCATTTAAAGGATACGTGGGTTTTTTTTGTTCCCTTATGCCACGTCCTAATTTCATTTATGACTGATAAAGGCCCTCCAGTGAACATTTTAGTTTACTTTTTGCAAAATATTAACAACTTCAAGTTGACACACTACTGACAGGCACTCCACTCTACTGTTCTGGGAGGTAAATGCTTTTTTTAATAACCTAAATTTTAATTCTGTCATTTGAATGTGTGGGAAAACGTTCTCTCAAAGTAACTCGCAAACATGGCTATGGAAAATAAAAGGCATTTTTCATTCCATTTGTTAAAGACCTAGTTAGAGTCACCATCAGAATTACTTGGTATGTTGCATGCAGCTACATAAAACATGCAGCATAGGCCTTTTGATCCAAAATATCTGAACTCCTCTTACACGTCCCTTCCTCCCTCACGAATGTTATCAGCATTAATTGACCTGCCGTCAATTTCTTTGCTTCTCTTTACTGCATCAATATTATTCACCTCAACTACTCCCTGGAGCAACAAACAATGCCTTTTTTCACAATGTGCAGTCCATTCATTTAAATGCTTGATATCTTTTTAAAATTGTTTTATATAGCCAAGCATGCATATTATCTTAATTGGTTAGGCTTGAGCATTGCATGCACTTTAACTTCTAACTATGTTGTCGGGCCATGTGCTCTGAAGGGAATAATGCTGGTGAGATCAGTATTCTATTGGTAGTGATTTCTACGTTATCATCTCTGGGTTAGAAAAAGTTGTCTTAATTCCCTGTTTGATTTCTTTGGTGACTGTCTTAGTCTGATCGTCACCTCTGGGTTTGCTGTCCCAACAACGGAATCTAACACTATGGAATGATGTCTAATGTAATAAGACATTTCGAAATCCGACTTTAAGGTTATCCCTCAGACTTCTGTTTACAAGAAAAGGACATACCAGATTTATTCATATTACCTCTGTGGTTTAAATGTCTAATTTAGCATTGTAGAATCTCAAATTTTTAACTTCTGTCATTGTGCTTGACCAGTGTGATTCCAATTACTTAAACATTTGTGGAATAACAACCTTTGTCCTCTACTGTCAGTCATGGCTCAGTGTCAGCAGTTATACCTCTAAGTGAGGAGCTCATAAATTGAAGCTGACTGCAAAGAGTTAAACATGGTTTAATGCTTAATGGCTCTCAGTCCTTCCAGAATATTATAAAAGCATCAGAGGGCACAGAAGAACTACGTACCAGTTTAACACACAAAGTAGTAGACATTAGTGAAACATAGATAATCACTCAGGAGATAGTGGTGTAGTGATGATGTAATCCACAGAACCCAGGCTGATACTCTGGTTAGATTTCTAATTAGAATATAAAATTAGTCTCAATAATATCAATCATGATAATAAATGTCATTTAAAAACCCATTTTGTTCACCCATGTCCTTTAGGGAAGGAAATCTGTCCTCCTTAACTAGTTTGGCTTATATGTGACATCAGATCCACAGCAATGTGGTTGACTACAGCAAGGCAGCAAGTAATGGCCTTGCCAGCTAAACTCTAATCCCATCAAAGAATTTTTTTTAAATCTATTTAGATATGTTATCTACAATATAGAATAGTATATAACCGATATATAGTATTAAGCATTTATTGATCCAATAACAAAATACTGCTTAAACGTGTAACTACTTGTATTTCAAAATGGAATAAGAACAAAAAAAAATGCAGCCTAACCAGAGGAACATTTTGATGGATGGATGACAACGTTAACTTTTCAGGTCAAATTGTGTCAAAGCTAAATTTCTTCAAGAAAGTAGCAGAAGATCCAAAATCGGACTAAAAATGTGAAAGATATTCCAATGCACAACCATTTTAGGAAAGAGAGCAAAGCACTAGGATGTAATACTTTTATTTTCTTGTCTCCTCATCAGACTCAGGGTTTGGGTACAGCTCTAAAGATTTTATTTTCTGAACGGGAGATCAAGAATCTTCCTGAGCGGAGTCCTTCAGCAGGTTTTCAGCTCACCCGACAGGAGGTTGTTGCTCTTTTGAATGCGTTTGGCAGGTAAGAAATACTTCCAAAATGAGTTTTCATATATTGAGTTATCATAGGAATAGAGTTTATCTATCCTATCAATTTGCAGTTACGCTCATTACTGACCTTGAGTAGTTACTCGGTTGATTAGAGCATGGTCAACCGTGGGTTAGCTGATTTTGTACAGCCCAGTTGCAGAGTAGTTTAAAAATGCACTGTAATCTCTAAGAAAAGATTGGACACTTTTTTTTTTTGCAATGCTGCTGAAAGTATAGTGTATGTATGGGTATCCAGTGAAGACTTGATCGGCTTGACAGTAATGCATCAACAGTTGATTGGCTTAGAGTTACTTGCCACTTTGAGATGCTGGAGACCTACTGTAGGCCACAGCTTCCAAAAACAAGCTCATTTTATTCAGGAAGGGTGAGAAGCAAAGTTTATATCTGAAAGCTCTTCAATGTAAAGTGAGTTCAAAGAGTTACCTCCACTGACTGAATACTTGTTCTAATGATCTTTCTTCCAATGTACAGGTAATGTGTGGCCTGAACTGTGTGTGCTGTCAATCAATGCATAAATACACTATCTGTCAACAATGCAGTCTATATGTGGCATGTTACCCTGGGCTTTGAAACATTTAAATCTGTTTTTCTAAGTCAAATTTTACCCTATATGTAACCTGGAGCTTGATTTGCGAACATTCCTGTAGCCCACTTTAAATAATATAGGGATAGTTCAATGCCTTGCCAGCTATTTCTGTGTATTCCATTAAGACCATAAAGTCTATATATAGTTTAAAAAAAAACAGGACCTCCTCATTGAGTTCCAGTGGTGGTCTCAAGTTGCAGGTTCCAGTGATCAATCATTCAACCCTCTTCTCTAATTTATCAAATCGTGAACAAACACTCAGGTTTATTATCCAAAGCACATCACGAGATTTTTAGACATTGCACCTACCCAATACGGCAGCTCCCATAAACACAACTTTGAGACTTGTAAAAGCATTGAGAAGAAATGTACGAGGCAAAAACATTCCTTTAGACTTAATGTAGCTTTGCCACTTTTGGATTCCAGGTCACAATGTGAAGGTATGTGAACCACATGAATTATGAGCAGAAGTAGATCATTCAGCTCCTCGAGCCTGTGTCACCATCCGATAAGATTATGGCTGATCTGTTTGTGTTTCGATTTCCACATTCCTAACTACCCCTGATAACCACGGATTCTCGCTAGGCATTGGAATCTGTCTACCTATATGTCATGACCCCATTTCTACTGCCTTCTGAGACTGTGTTCCAAAGTCTTGCAACCCTCTGAGGTATTTAGAGGGAGGTGATGGCCTAGTGGTATTATCGCTGGACTGTTAATCCAGAGACCCAGATAATGTTCTGGGAACCTGGGTTCAAATCCTGCTATGGCAGATGGTGGAATTTGAATTCAATAAATATCTGGAATTAAGAATCTAATGATGACCATGAACCCGTTGTCGATTGTCAGGAAAAACCCATCTGGTTCACTAATGTCCTTTAGGGAAGGAAACTACCATCCTCACCTGGTCTGGCCTATATGTGACTCCAGATCCACAGCAAATATGGTTGACTCTTAACTGCCATCTGGGCAATTAGGGATGGACAACAAATGCTGCCTGGCCAGCAACACCCTCATCCCATGAATGAATAAAAAAAAAATTCCACTCTGTCAAATATGTGTGGCTCCTAATTTTAAAGCGATGTCTCCTGGTTCTGAAATGTCCACCATTGTCAAGACCATTCAGAATCTTAAACACTTGAATCAAGTTACCCCTTGCTCTTCTAAACTCCACTGGAAATACACCCAGCCTGTTTAGCCTCTCCTCATAAGACAACCTACTCATTCCTGCTATCAATCTATTGCACTTTTAAACTACCTCCAGTGTATTTACATATTTAAGTATGGAGACCAAGGATACACACTGTGTATTTGAAATGTTGCAGTTGTATAGGACATTGGTGAGCCTCTTCTGTAGTACTGTCTGTCTGTGTCTGGTTCTGGTCACCCTGTTATAAGAAGGACATTATTAAGCTAGAGAGGGTTCAGAAGAGATTTACCAGTATGCTGCCGGGTATGGAAGGTTTGAGTTCAGAAAGGCTGGATAGGCTTGGACTCCATCATTGAAGCATAGGATGTTGAGAGGTTACCTTTTAAGATTTATAAAATCATGAGGGGTATAGATAGGGTTGGTGGTGGGTGTCCTTTCCCTAGGGTCGGGGATTTCGAGACTAGGGGGCATATTTTTAAGGTGAGAAGAGAGATTTTTAAAGAAGATGAGGAGCAAATTTTTTTACACGGTGGTTTGTGTGGAATGAACTTCCTGAGGAAGTGGTGGATGGGGACATAATTACAACATTCAAAACACACTTAAAGTACATGAATATGAAAGGTTTGAAGGGATATTGGCCAGGACCTGGCAGGTGTGACTGGTTTAGTTTGGGATTGTGTTTGGCATGGACTGGTTGGACCAAAGGGTCTGTTTCCATGCTGTACGATTCTGACTTTATGTAGTTTCACCAATGCCTTGTGTAACTGAAGCATACCATCCTTACTTATGGTTCTGTTCCTCTCATGCTCTGGAACACCTCTATCCCTCTGTACCTCAGAATTCTACAGTCATAGAGATATACATGGAAACAGATCCTTCGGTTCAACTTGTCCATGCTGACCAGATAGCCTATATAAATCAAGTCCCGCTTGCCAGCATTTGGCCCATATCCCTCAAAATGCCTTGGTCATTTTCCATTTAAGTAGTACTTAAACCAGAAGCCCAAGATGAGCAGAGACATCAAGAGAAATGATTTGAATAGTTTGGATTGACTTATTGGGAATGTTAGTAATTGTCCAAGCTGCATAAGAAATTTAAAACCAGGCATGCCTGTCATTCTGTTACCAGAGCACCTATTGTCTTTGCTTGTGGGGATTCATACCATCCATGATTGCTGCCTTTCTAAGACAGAGTCCTTAAGTAAACTTCAGTCGGGATCCTGATTTAAATTTAACACTTGCCATCTGAGTATTCCACCACTTGGGAAAACCATCAGCAGACCGAAGATAGAAGAAGCCAGACTGGAGTATTTCCTGCAAGCTGATCTGAGGCCTTAAGTTGCCATGACATAAATAATTTGAACAGTGTTACTAGCTGATATTGTGGATGATAGGTTCGAAGTTGCGTTCCTGTGGCAGCAACAGACTCCCACGCTGACCTAAACCAGGTTCAGGAAGGGAAGAATGGGAAATGAGCTGGGTGGCATAATTGGCAGCTGGTAATTGATGTCTGCTCCTGTATTTGAGAGCCTGACGCAACAGGCATTGCTAGGGAGATCTGGATGTCAATAGAATAGACTTGAATGAGGGTATTCCACCTTTTGAGGATCAGCATTGGCTAGTTTTACAGCAATACCAGGTGCCACCATATACCATGCTTACTTTCTCATAAACCTTTTTTGTTAGCTCATTCATATTTTGGTGCATAAACCATAAATACATTTTTTAAAAAATAAATCAGAATATTAAAGATAAAGAACAGGGACATCAGTAAGGTGCACGACCCCATGTTTACAAACTCTACTGCTGCTTAGGATTTGCATGTCAACATTTGCATAGAATTTGTGCACTGTGCTGTGGCTGATTGGTCAATCCTCAGCTTGGAAGCAGTCTGCAGCGAGCCATCTTTTCAAAGAGCCATCAATCTATCCACTTCACTCACTTCTTCAAATGCAATCTGTAGCATGCAGCTTTAATCTGTAAGTTGTTTTGCTTTCTGTCCTCCTGTTTTTAGCTTCCTCTCCAATGTTAGAGGAAAAACAAAAGAGTAAATCTGGACAACAATACATTTTCAATTATGTTAAATTTAATGTATTGTTTATTTTGCAAACTTAATTTTAGGAAAGCAGGGGAGTTGACTTTAGTTATTTAATTGATTTAGAGGTAGTGGGCAATTCACACACAACTGAGGAAATTGTGCTTCTGTTATTGTAACTTGCAAGATTTCTGAGAGAGGCCTTTGAGACCCTTCATTTTGGTCATTGAATTATGCTTGTTTGATCTCTTCACACCCCTGAAACCATTCTTGCATCTGGAAAAAAAAAATTGTAAACTGCTAGCCATGATTTAAAATGGCAATTTACAATGAGACCAGTTAACAGCTTGACAGATGAGCTTTTCCTAATCTGAAATTTCCCTTTAGTGTGTTTTTAAGATTTATTTTATAGATGCTTATGGAAGTGTGAAAACCTCTTTCTGGAGAGCGGGGATATTATTTTTAAAAAGGACTGTCTTACATGGAATTGACTTCAAGATTTGGTCTGACTGTCAATGTTATCTGCAAGTTTCATGTAACTTCACAATATTTTCACATCATTTCAAGATTCCATTAATATTGCAACATTTGGAAACTGATCACAAGTCTGTTTCAAAACAGCAATGATATTGGGATTGTTCTTCTGGAAATAGAAGGTTAGGGAGAGCTTTAGTAGCACTGTTTATTGTTATGACAGTGTAAATAAGACCAAATTGTTTCCACTGCCAGGATCAGTAACCAGAGCATACAAGTTTGAGAGAGCAGAAGAAACAGATGGCATGTATTTGCCTACTTCCATGCACCATTGCTGTATGTGACTGTTATAATGCCACTTAGACGGTGATATGATCACTAACTTTGAATACAGTTATGCGTGGCTCGGCATGCTGTCCTAAATAGATTTTATTTCTAACCATTGATCTAAATTTGCAGCACTGTCATCTCATTTCATACATTATGATTTAAGTTAATTTTGCCTAGTTAAGTTGAAACTGAGTATTATTTCAGACCAGTCACACTGCTGATCTTGTGTTGAAGAGTGTTCTGGATGTAACAGATTTTTCAGAAGACAAATGGGAAATTTCATGATGACCAGTTACTCAAATAGCAAATAACATGTTGGAAAGAGGGAACATGTGTAAAAAGTTCGAACACTATTTCTTCCAAGGTTCCATTTTATCAAAGAAATATGCACCTTTATACCAGAATATTTGCTACATCATTTAAATTATAGAGTCATAGAGTTATGCAGCATGGAAATGGATCATTGGGTCCAACTAGTCCATGCTGACCTGGTTTCTCAAACTACAGTAGTCCCGTTTGCCTGCATTTGGCCCATATCCCTCAACTTGTCCTATTCATGTACCTGTCCAAATGTCTTTTAAATGTGGTAACTGTACCTGCGTCTACAACTTTCTCTGGCAGTTCATTTCATATACGCACCCACTATCTGTGGGAAAAATTGCCCCTCGGGTCCCTTTTAAATCTTTCCCTTTTCATCTTAAAATTATGCCCTCTAATTTTGAACTCCCCTACTGTAGGGAAAAGCCCCTTGTCACCTACCTTTATCTATTCCCCTCATGATTTTATAAACCTCTAAGGTCATCCTCAACTTCCTATGCTCCAGGAAAAATAGTCCCAGCCTCTCCTTATAACACAAACCCTCCAGTCCCAGTAATGTCCTTGTCCTTGTAAATCTTTTCTGCACCCTTTCCAATTTAACAACATCCTTCCTGTAACAGACCGACCAGAATTCTACACTGTAGTCCAAAAGTGTCCTCATCGATGTCCTGTACAGCCACAACATGATGTCCCAACTCCTATACTCAATGCTCATGTGCTCATTCACCTTTAGGGAGGCATCACACATCTGTTAATTGTACCATCAGCTGCGCAGATTTTTTAAAGACTGAAGTGGGGTGAGAATTTCTAACGAATGAAGCGTTCCAGTTACCTTCACTTTTGTCATTCTCAAAACCAAGGGGTTATATACAGTAGCTAACTTTTTGTATTGCTACTTTGCTCTTTCAGGCTTTCAACAAGTATTCAAGAATTACAGAATTTCAAAATGCTGTTAAAGGACAAGAGGTAACAAATGCTGTGGAGACAGCCAAGATGGGTGCTGGGTAGAGACTCTAATATTGTCCTGGTCCCTGGCACTCGATGAAAATTCGGGCTCTTCAGGGATTCAGTAGCTAACTGTTACACACTTTTACAGTAATGCATTGGCCTGGACTATATTGAATGAAAGAGATGAATTTGGTTTGGTAATAGTGTGTACCCTTTTGCATTTTATTTGATAGCGTTTCTTTGTGATCATTTTTTTTTTCTAGTTAACTAACCATGTGTTTGAATTTATTTGATTTCAAATATTACCAAGCCTTATTCATTAAGAAAATTATTAACTGAACAGTTCTAGGTTTGTCTGCACTAATCTATTAAAATTCAAGCAGAATTTTATTTTTAACTCCAATGGCGTGAGGGGACTTCCTGGAGCTTAACTGTGTCAGTATTGCAAACTGAATGTTCTTGGACAGTACTTCAGTATTTCAGATCAATGTCTAAAAATTTTAATGACCGTGTTAAAATGATCAGATTCCCTTCAAAAATGACCCCTGTTATTCTAGCGTGCCTGACTGTTGATTATCACTTTTACATTAAGGACAAGACTTTTGTAATTTAAAAAAATTTAAAAATAAAAGCAACTGTTCAAAATGTGTAATTTGAGCTGCAGCACAATGTGCTACATGGGCCTTTTAGAAAAGATTGTGTATAGATAAATCCTGTGGAGAAATGAGAACAGTTTCTGAATATTGGAAATCTGCGTAATTCACACAGGGTTTTAAGACCACTTCAGAGAACATTGTGAGTGTCATAGGGATCTTTTGGAATTCTTCAGATGTGAAATAGAAGAAATATTTCTATTGCAATTTGGTACTTCTAAATTACAATACTTCTTCAAATCAAAAAGCAATAATATTTGAGTACAGATATTCTTCATATTTGCTTTCTACATCAGGTAGATGTCAATATCATGTAATTTGTTTCCAATGATTGTTTTAATTTTATATTTTAGTATCCTGTATTAAGTAGGTTACTCTCTGAATTGACCAAATATAGCTGCCTCATCGGCTGGCGTACTTGAGGAGCAGTAATCATTTGGAAGCAAGGATCAAAGCAAAGTGACTGTGTGTTTTAAAAGCTACTTGTGGGTAAAACACAAGTTATTGTTGGATCATCTGCAGCAAGGATGTCATATATATATAAAATATGTGTGTGTATGTATATTATATATATATATCACAAATAATAGTGACCATGCTTTGTTGTGTTACCTGTACTTTTGTGCCTGTATGTTTGTGTTTTAACCCCTTGATGGTTGCTGAAACTGTTCAGCCATTGTACTGTTGGTGTGAAACTTTTGCCTGGTCCACTTGAACACATGCTCAAAACATTACTATAAAAGTTTAAAAAGGTTTATACCATTCATAAGTTATTACATGTATACCTTACTCTTTAAAAAATTTGTTGATTGAATCTATTAATCCTTTCTATCGATAAACTAATACTACAAACTTTATCAGTTGAACTGAGTATTCTTCAATCTGGCTAGATTATTGCTTGGTACTAGTAGAGCCTGGCCATTGTGGCATAGGGAGACAATAAGTCATTTGACCTCAACTACTCCGGGCTATTCATTTTACCCATTAACCTATAATTCCATGAAACGTACAGCACAGGCTATTCTCCCCATCTAATTCGTGTCCAAGTTTGTGCAGCAAAAGAGCTTCCCTCTATTTTTTTCTTCTAATTTTATCATTGTATTTTTACTTGCGCATGTATCATAAAGCAATCACCCATTGTGATTATAATGCCCATCATATGCTAAACTGAGTCTATCATCCAGGGAAAAGTAGGAATATGATGGTCATTATTAAATTCAATTATGAATTCAGAAGAAAGGACTTGGAGCAGGAAGATGATTGGAAAGCTACTGCACAACGAGTCATCAAGGTGAATAGCATGAATATATTTAAGGGGATGCTAGACGAATAATAAAAGGTTGCCTTAATTAAGTGAAATGTAATTAATTGGGAGTTAATGTAGATCGAGGCATGTTTAATTAGAGATGAAGTCTACTTCTCTTCCTCGTGTTCCTCCTTCCTGAGGTACTTGTCTACTTCTCCATCAATGCATTTATGCTGTTCACCTCAACTATTCCATTTGGAAATAAGTTCCACAGTCTGGTTAAAGAGGTTGCTCAAATTTCTTTATCAGTGACCATTTTATTTATCATTTCTAATTTTGACCTCCTTCATAAATGCATACATCTGTATCTAGGAAGTGTGGCCAATCGGGCAGCATCTCCATTAGAGAATGGTACACTGAGAACAGCAAAAGTCTGCTCTTAAAAAGAAGTAATTTGAACGGCCAGAAAAATTAGAGAAAAATCAAGTTTTAAATGAGACGTTAGTCTATAGTGATGAGTTTAGCCATTTTTTAAACTTAATTTTGTTCCAAAAAAATTTTTTAAGTTCTTTTATTACAACCCATGATCTACTTAAAACAAGTTGTTTAAATGAACCTTTTCTTTTCCTAATGGCACAGATTGATTCTAAAGAACTGGAGAATTCATGTCGGTTCAGGCTACAATTGGAAGTGTCCATTTTCTCCACTTACGATCATCTATCCTAGATCATTCAATTAATCATTTATGGCAATCCTTAAAATGATCGGCTATGGTTTGAAATGTGAAAAATATCTTCTCCTGTTTGGAGAAACAAGTTGCTGAAGTCATCTATAAATTTAATAGTGGGCAGATAATATAAATAGGTGGCAATGTACTGAGAAGCACCTAAACAATTTAACATTACACGCACAATATTTTCAATATGTAAATTTAAACAAGCAAATGCAACAAATGTTATTATTAGTTTACTTAAGTTATCAATTTGGGGAGCAAACCAGATCCTGAAATGTCTTTTTCTGTAGTCTTTTGCATCATTTAGATTCAGTAGAAACTAGCAATGAAGGGACATTGTAATTTCTGCATTGTGCAGTTTTTAATTGATTTGAAGTTCCTTGGAGAACAGCAGGAATCTGAGTAACAAAATTGCATATATTTGCTCTAAATTGCAGCAGATTCTACAAAAAATACTGATCATTAATTTGTTTTGAATACTTGCAAATGCTGACTGGAATAACCTGAGCACTGTGAACCAAGCTTTCGTTTCCTTTGTGCAACTACTGCTTCACAGCTTCTTACGTTTCCTTTCAAGAATTATCACCTTCAGCTGCAGATGCTGCACCAAGTTGTTCTTTCTGACTTTCCTTTGCATGATCAGCACTAATATTTTGGTGCATCTGTACCCTGCCTTAAGCAATGTGACAAAACTGATTGTAATTTTTTTTAAAATCTTTGATCACTAGTTGCCTGTGTTCCAAACCTTGATGAGTTGATTTATTTTTCCTGGTTATTATGTACTGTATGTCTGTTCAGCATAAAGATTGAAATTGTTTGGAAAATATTTAATCGCACCCCTTGTGTTTACTGCACTTGTCAGATGTATTTATTTAAAAAGAAAAATAAATTTTCCTCGCTATCCACTTTGAAAACTGATACCTTGTTTTAAGAAGAACTGCGTATTGAAGGATCTATATTACAAGCAATATGATGACATTTCATCATTCATTTAGAGATGCATGTTACTTTATGAATTCATATAGTTTTGAATATTGTTCCTTTTGCAGTAATAAACTGGAAAATTGTGTGTGTGTATATTAATCAAGTCTGAAACTGCCTTGTACCCCCTGACACCTCAATCAGCTCTCTTAACTGCATAACTTAGAGCAATTTAGCCTAGCCAGCAATCTATCTCTTTTAAATATTACTCTTCCAACTATCACTGCAGCATTTTAAAAAATAATCACAAGTTAATTTCCTCGTGAAATGTTTAGGGTTAAGATGCCAGTTCACAATGCACTTTCATCGTTACGGTTTGGACAATGTGAATTCAAACTGGTTTTGATCACCTCTTGCTGAATATTTTCCCCTGTAAGTGCCAGACTAGTTAAATGATTTAATCATTTGGGGAAACAGTTGATGTACCGGCTGGTCCTTTTAGTGTCAATTTTGAATGTTTGTGAATAATCTTCCTATCTTAGTGTAAAGAATTAAAGATCATATTGTGCACTATCAGAATAAAATATCAAGGTTTGTTAATGAGAAGATTGACTCAATGTTTGTGAAGCTCTTAAACTTGTAAAAGATTTTAGTGATTTTTGGGAAGAACTTGAGAGAGGGTGTAGTTAAGAATATTTAAGTCACAGTATTAATTAAAGAATGTAAACTCCCTTTATCCAGGAAGATGGAATATTTAATAAATGTACTTGCAGTTTGGAATATTACTGGACAATATGAAGAAAATTTAAATTTGGCCAACAGACCAATCCTCTGAGCTGTGGACTCTGGAGCACCCACTGTCCTTTCTTTTCATGAGCCTACTACCATCAAGCAGGGTTTCCCAAATGTAATATATTATTTACATGTCTCAGGTACACCAACTGCAGCACAGACCACAACAAAGCAGCTCAAGACTATTTCACACTGTCAGTGCATTATTATGGTCAGTGTCAAAAAGTTACAGATTCAAGCCTCACTCCAAGAATTTCAGCAGAAATTCTGGGCTAATGCACCAGTGTACTCGTCAAGTTGCATTCTTTGACATGACACATTTAAATCAAGGTCCCATGTCATTGATGCTGTTGAAGACCCCTTGGCTATGTTAAATGGTGAACTGGGAAGTTTTTCCCACTGTCTCAACAGCACTATATTTTCAAAACAAAATGTGATTATTGCCATGTTGCTGTTCACAAATGAGCAGTAAAACACGATGTCCTGAGGTTATGAAAGGTACTATGCAAATTCATGTCCTTTCTGAAGGTAAGTGGGTGTTTTGCAATTCGGTAGATTTCACAATCTTTTACATACCCAATCATTAACAAAATGTAAGAGCAGTCAGAGACAGTTGAGTGTAGTTTTTATAGGCCTTTATAAAACAGATAATGAATTCCAGAAAGGTATTATCAACTGGCTAAAATTTATTATGATTCGTTGCATTATAGACTCTGAAGTGGTAACTGTACAATATTTACAGAAGCATCCTAATCACATTTCTCTGAAAAGTCTATTATTTAATTATAAATGTGGAAAACCATTTTTAAAACTGTATTTACCAAGATAGCATTACATTAATAATAGCATTTGGTGCAAGATTTCACTTTTCTCACATTGTACAAACCAATTTGTCATCCATTCTTGTTTTAGAAATATTTGATAGTTGCGTAGTCTTTAATTAGCTTATTGAAAAATGATCCCTGTCCAGATCATGAGTGAAGGAGAGTTTTATGAATGAATCTCTGCGTGTGTTGACACATGGGCATCTGAAGCGAAGGAAGCAAATTCTTCGTAATTGTAACTTTGGTTCTTGGTTCCATAGTAATCGGTTATTTGGGAGATGCTTGATGAGCTAAAAAGATAGACTGCTGTGAATTTGGGGATTGTGATTAAGTGTTTTATGTCAGAATACCGTGAAGTAACCTGTCGTGAACTCTGACATGGCTCTAACAGTAAAGTCACCTGGGTTAGCCAGACTACGGGAAAGTTTTGATCTTTTGAAAGTTTTAAATTTGATCTGTGATCTTTGATTGTTATGGGAGTTGAATTGGCTTTTACAGTCATTAAATGTGAAACATTTGGCTTCAGTGACCCATATTAACATGGCTTTCACTTTACAGGTCACTCATCAGGGATCCCCATATCACTAGCTCAAAACCAGGCCATTAAGCTAGAATATGGTGTTCTGGTGAATAAATAAATAATGAACTCGGTGACAATAAAGAAATGGTGATAAAGTTACAATGATCTATGATTTGGGTGGCATCTCCCATGTAATTGGCTTCCCATGTGTGTGCTGCCCTGTTGTGCTAATAAAATGGCTGGGCTTTGGAAGGTGCTGTTGAAGATCCATGGAGAATTGCTGCAATGGTTTTTGTAGATACTGGTGTGAAAGGAATAAATGTTTTAATGTGAGTGGCAATCAATCAAACTGTCTTATTGTGGATGAGGAGTTTTTGGAGTTACACCTATCCAGGCAAACGGAGAGTATTCGGCATAATCCTGACATGCCACATAAGTAATGAACATGTTTCGTGGAGTTGGGGGTGGGATGCAGGCCACCCCGCTAGGGGTTATGGCTCCAAATCCTGCCTTGGACCATTGGTGCAGAATTCGGCAATTGAATTGCAAGTGGGGGGGAAAAAAACGTGGATTCTCTGGATGTGATAATTGCTGGCTCTTGCATGATGTGAATGTTATGGGCTACTTAAACCCTGACCTAAATGTTGTGCCAGTCTTACTGCGTATGCCTGCAGACTACTTCAGTATCTGAGGTGGTGTGAATGATCTCAGACACCCTAAATCATCATTGAACACCATCAATTCTAATTTTCTGAAGAAGGGTCTAGACCCAAAACGTCAGCTATGCTGCTTGGCCTGCTGTGTTCATCCAGCTCTACACCTTGTTATCTCAGATTCTCCAGCATCGGCAGTTCCCACTATCTCTGAATCAATTCTAAGCTGACGTTTGAGTCTAGAGTATAATTATCTTGTGCTTGGAGTAATACAATTATGGCTGTTAAAGGCCCTTCATCCATGTCACCTTGGGACATCACTGTGAACAGTGGCAGCAGTGTTTACTGTTGAGATGTACTGGAACAACTTAACATGATTCCTTCAACAACACCTTCCAAATATACGACCTTCATCCTATAACAGGATAAGGGCAGCTGATGCATGCGAGCATTGCCATCTCCAAGGCACGTGCCGTCTGACTAGCAACTATATTCACACATTTTAAGTTAATCTTCTCAAAATGAGATGGATGTCAAGGACAATTTTGGGGCTGGATAAGGAAGAAGAGAAAGGCTCTTAGCAAGTCCAAAGGGAACAATTCAGCTGCAGCACTAGAGAAATATAGGAAGTGCAAAAAGGAACTTAAGAAAGCAGTTAGAAGAGCAAAAATGGGGCATGAAAAAGGACTTGTGAGCAGGATTAGGGAGAATCCTAAAATATTTTTTAAATACGTTTAAAGGGAAGAGGTTAACTGGGGAAACAGTAGGACCTATTGAGAATGAAGGAGTCAATTGTGTGAAGCTGCAGGATATCAGAATGGTGTTAATACTTCTTTTCAGTCTTTACTCTTAGAAAAGGAGGCAGTAGGTATGAAATTCAGGAAAAGGGACTGAGGAAATTGGGAGGTACTGAAAGCTCTTTTGGGCTTGAAAAGGGACAAATTCCCTGGCCCAGATGAACTGCATCCCAGGCCACCGTGGGAGACGAGGCAGGAAATTGCAAGGACTTTGACATGATTTATTAATTCCTTTCTGACCACTGGGCAAGTTTCAGAGGACTGCAGGATGGCAAATATGGCTTCACTTTTCAAGAAGGATGGTAGAGATGAACCCAGAAATTACAGACTGGTGAGTCTAACGTCAGTAGAGGTTAGATTCTAGATGATCAGTATTGGAGAAAATTCTGAAGGAGAGAATTAATGTACACTGGGAAAAGCATAGGTTATTTAGGGATAGCCATCGTGGCTTTGTCAGAGGGAGGTCATACCCAACAAATCTTGTTAGAAATTTTCAAAAATGTGATTGGGTGTGTGGTTGAGGGAGTTCAGGATAACTTGACAAGTTGGATGAGAAACTGCTTAGTAATAGGACATAAAGGGTAGTGGTAGAAGGCTGTTTAAGTGACTGGATGTTGGTGTCCTGTGGTGTACCACAGAGATCAGTACTGGGACCATTTATAAACGATGTAGATGAAAATGTAGGGGGAAATGTTAAGCAAGTTTGCAGACAAAACCAAGATTGGTATGGTGGTAAATAGTGAAGAAGATGGTTGTATGTTACAGGAAGATATAAATGGGTTGGTCAGATGGGCAGAACAGTGGCAAATGGTATTTAACCCTGATAAATGTGAAGTGATGCACTTTGGAAGAAGAAACAAGATGGGGGGGTATTTAATGAATAGTGGGACACTGGGTAGCTCAGAGAACAGGGACTTTGGTTAATTATTCACAGGTCCTTTTTTAAGTCTGTAGTGCACATGAATAGCATAGTTAGAAGGCCTATGAGACATTTGCTTTCATTAGTCATGGCATAGAGTATAACAGCAAGACATAATGTTTGATTTTGATTTTGATTTATTATTGTCATGTAGTGGGATACAGTGAAAAGTATTGTTTTGCATGCTAACCAGACAAATCGTATCTTTATATAAGTACACCATAGTAATAGAGCAAAATGCAGAATATAGCGTTACAGCTACAGAGAAGGTGCAGAGAAAGATTGACTAATATACAAGAGGTCTATTGAGTGGAATAACAGTGGGAAGAGCATTGGTTAGGCTACCTCATTAAGCAAGGATGTGATTGCACTATAGAGGTGGTACAAAGGAGGTTCACCAGGATGTTACCTGGGATGGAGCAATTGAGCTATAAGGGGAGACCATAGAGCTTTGGATTCTTTTCTTTAGAGCAGAGACGGCTGGGGGC